GTTCTTGTTAATTTAACACCCGTTCTCATAGAAATCACAGAACTAAAAGCGGCAAGATATGTTGACAATGTCGAGCCTTTTAAATGTTTGTTTTGCCGTAAGTAACACAAATAGTCTGCCACTTGAGGATCGTAGCATCTCTCGCTGTAAAACCCTTGTTTGTTGCATAATTTTGAAACTTTGCCACTTGTCATCGTACAAGTTCTGGCGTTGAGTATCGTAAAGGCAAAGCGTGACGCTTTTGCGCCCTGGTAGAATATCCTCTCTTGTTTAAACACATTTTAATACAGTCCATGCGTGAAGTTTGAATACTTCTGGGTTTCTGTGCACCTGTTTGGTGTGAGGATGTATTAACAGGTTTTGCAGCTTAGGTAGTTCTAGTGCGGTTGACCCGATATCTTGTATTAAAGGCGGAAACCACGTTCTGGCCGACCAATAGAGTAGCGACCAAAGTGAGTTGTAGGCTCTGCGTTTGGTTGATTTTCTGTAATACTAGAGGTATTATTGCTGGAAGCGGAAGAAGCGGCGCGCATTGAGGCCTTCCATGAAATGCTTAGAAGCGTCTGTTGCCCATGCTTGTGGGTCTGGCACTGGTGACCACGAATGTCGGTAGTTGATTGTTGAACCTTGTGGCGAATAGATCTACTAGCGGCTCCTATTTGCTTGATTATCTGTGCAAATATCTCTGTATTGAGCATCCATTCTGTCGGTGACGGTAGATGTGGCGAGAGAGTCGTCTGCTAGTATATTCCTGGCTCGGGAATGTGGCATGCTTTGACATGTAGATTTAGATCTTGGATTAATTGAACAGTTGAAAGGTTAAATTCAAAAGGTTGGCGATCTCGTTGAGCCTTGTCTGTTCACATAAAAGCGCCACTGTCGAGTTGTCGGTATGTATCATCAGGTGCGCATTCTGTAGAATGTTGCTCCAATGTCTTATGGCGTTGATTACAGCTTTCATCTCTAATGCGTTTATGTGGAGTTTGCTTTCTAGCTGAGTCCATAACCCTGATGCCGTCGGTTGGAGAGATGAGCTCCCCAACCTTGGGCGGCAGCGTCTACATATAGATGGGTCTTGAATTCCTGCTCTGCTAAACAAATCCCTTCGCAGACATTCGATTTCTTTGTCCACCATAATAGATGAGGTCTGAGATGTATCGGTAGACTGAATGGTTGTAGGTCGTCGAGATGTGTATTGGCGAAGACCTGTAGCGGGCGTAACTGTAATCTGCCTATGACTGTCAAGTCTTGGGCTGATGTTAGAAGACCTAGTAAGCTCTGCCATTGTCGAAGTGGTAGCGGTGACAGTAGAGCTGGTGGAATGATCTGTTGGATCTTGAGCCAGCGGTCTTCTGAATGCGACTATCACGGTTGAGATTGGTGATAAATCAGTTCTAGGAATTGCAGATCTTGCGATGGTACTAGGTCCGACTTGTGTAAGTTTACTAACCATCCCAGCTGTGTTAGTAGCTTTATGATGTAGTTTAACTGTAGTTTGAGATGCTGTGGATCTTGATCTACTTGTATCCGTCGTCGAGGAAGAGCGCTCGCGTAGCCCTTGGCGATGTAGATGAATAACAATCGGTTTCGTTATCCTCGTGAATAACCATGGGGCTGATGCTATTCGAATGGGAGTACTTTCCACTGGTAATGTAACCCGTCTAGCGTAAACCGAAGGTATTTCCTGGATTCGGGATGTATTGGGATGTGCAGATAAGCATCTTGTAGATCTATACTGCCCATGTAGTCCATGGGGCGAATCATCTGCCGTAGCTGCGGTAGATGTAGCATAGTGAACCTGGGTGGTTTGTTTAAGTAAGTCTTGTTGAAGAAGCTCATGTTGTAAATGAGTCTGTATTTCTCCTTGGAGTTCTTCTTGGGTACTAGGAAAACTGGGGAGTAGAAACCTGGTTCGATGTTTCCTTGCTCTATTACTTCTATGGCCTGCTTGGTTAGGAGTAATGTAACCGCCTCTCTTAACTTTAGTAGTTGTTGTGCCTCTACCTCGAACTTGTGAGGGTTGACTGTTAGTGGAGGCTTGGCCTGTAGTGGGATCACGAAATCAGCGTTGAAGAATGTTGGAGACATAGGTGTCTTGAAGTATTCCCCAGTTTTCCCAGTGTAGTTGAAGGCGTCCACCCACTTGTGGCGGTTGTACTGGAGCGGCTGGGGTGGAAGACTCCAGTCGTTCGAACCTGTCTTTCAGCGTTTATAGTTGCGGGAACCTCTGGGTGTCCTGCCTCGTCCTGACCCTCCTCTATAGTTGCCATATGGGCGTGAAAGAATCTCTTCCCCTGGAACTGGCAATCTTCCTGTCTCTAGCTCTTTGTAGGCCCGTGAATTTAGATCTCCTGAGTATCTTTGTGAAGTCTGTCGAATGACACTGGCTAAGCGTGTCCATCGATTTAATCATCAGGACTTCTCTAGAATCCTTGGTGACTTCTTTGGAGACTGTGTCTATTCCTCCGTCAAATATGGATGGGGAAGACCACGGGGCTGTATATAGTGGAGCTGTAAAGTTCTCACCCCAGTTGCAGGAAGCTAGGAGGCCTTGACTGACGAGCTAAGGTCAGTGCTGCTGAGACAGGCGTCAGATGATCTGTTAAAACTGCTGGTCCTTCTTTTGCATCAGTAGGGCCGAGTAAATCATTCTGTCATCTTCAGAGGTAGGTGTTCGAAATCTGGAGATAAGTGTCTCATTTATTGTTCTAGATCTATTTAGACCCGAAGAACATCGCCTGCGTCATGGTTTCTATCTGAACCAATTTCCGATCATCAATCTTGTAGTACTTGTTCTTGGCATCGGAGATCAGCTTATAGTTCTCATCGATGTCTTGCGCTTTGAAGAAGGGTTCCATATTATCGTGGAGAACTTCTTGGCTGAAATTTGGCAGATGTGGCGTCTGAACCTTTGTGGCTTTGTTAAATGCTGTATCTAGGTTCTGAGGTACGCCCATAATCGAGGTCGATTGGGGGGTAGTGTAATAGCATCTGCGTCATCTTCTTTCATCAGATAAGTCTAAGCCTTATTGCCACTCTTGGAAGGTGATGAGAGATCTAGATTATTGACCATCAATATCTTATCTCTGCATCTGAGAAAATAATTCCTCCATCATCTTCCATTCCATCATCATAGATAAGAGGTTGTTGCTCTTCTGATGTAGGGCTGTGTGGCTCTATCTCTATATCGTTTGGCTTGTGGAGATCTAGTTGTAGGCTTATGTGCAGACCTGTGAGGTGATCGGCGTGGTGATCGGTGAGGTGATCGTCTTGGTGATCTATATCGATAGGTTGACCTTCTTGGCGATCTATGAGGGGACTGATAAGCCAGCGAAGCTCTTGTGTAGTCCCTTGCTGATCTTTTAGATGAAGGCGATCTGGGTTCAGGTGTCGCCAGCGCGAGCATAGCCAGCGAAGCCATTATCGTCGGTCCTGGGGAGCGATGATATGATGACCAGCGAGAAGGCTTGCGTGTGGTCTGGTGATCAGATTCCATATCTGAGTATGGCGCCCGAAGAAGGTGATGATTCTTCCCGCCAGCGAAGGCCAGCGAAGGCTGTACATCTGGGTCCTTCGTCGAGGTGGTCTGTGACTTCCTTAGCGAAGGCTGCATTGTCGTGGCTGCTACGTTGACAGATGGTGCCCTGGGGTGCTGTCACGTTGGAGCCTTCATGGCTTTCGGACCCTGGGATGGCTGCTTCTCCAGTCTATAGTGGCCTTCCATCATAATCATGATCTGTTTCATAAGATCGTTTGGGATGATCTGCGGCGTAGTAGATGGTGCCCTTTCTGCTGTGTTAGCGGTGGGGCCCTCAGCGATCTCGTCTGACATCAGTGTAGAGGCATCAGGCTGCTTGTTGATCTCTGCTGGCGTCACTGTCGCTGTCACTGGTAAGCTTCTTGTGGCGTATGTCGGGTATGATGATCGGCTGGTCATCGTAGAGGCTAATTCTGCTGCTGGAGCGATCTCGTCTGAGAAAGTTCTCGATGACCGTGGAATTTCCCTTTGGAGGAAGGCGCTGCCCTGGGGAGTACGAAGTCTGCGTTGAAGAGCGTTGAGGCCCTCTTGGACTTTGTCTGCGATGACTGGATGTCTGGGAGAGGCGATTAAGCTTCTTAGAGGTGGCGGACTGCATCCCGTCCCTCTTCGATGGGGTCTCAAGCAGAACACCAGGCGGGAGGGATCACTTTCGACAGCAGTTGACTGGATGGGCAATCCGGCGTATCGGCCATGTCTACACCTAGTTTGCGTGACCTATCTGCAACCACGTCTCAAGGCATAAAGATGGTATTTATCAAAGGCAGAATTGGTTAAATTTATGCAGTAACTGCAGCGTGAGTCAAGCGCACAAGGCGTAGTACAACTAGGGCATACCACATGCGGATCCATGGCGGAAAAGCGTAATCTACAAATAGTACAGTTTTTCATCAATGTAAAACTAGCTGAACAATCCGCGAACTCCGTGAATAAACAGTAGAAATACGATTAATTATTAGCGCCAAATAACTGAAGGATACTAGCTATACCTTTATAGTAAACTATAAAGGTAACTAACTAAGAAAAACCAAAGGATATAGTGTGTAAGGAGACACAGGCTCTCACATCCTGCTCACTGGTGAAGAAGAAGGAGAGTGAAGCATGAGGCCAGAGGGTGGCGACACCTGTTCAGCGCTTACGGCGGGGAGGTAACTTCGTGGGTGAGTACCAATTAGTGATTTTACATTGAAGGGGCTTCAATTAAGGAGATACAAGTGTTCCACTATGTTAAGCAAGAGGAAGGGGACAAGCAAAGAGCATGAGTCAGGATAATAGACAAATACCACAGCAATTAATGACATCCATAGCTTACTGACCCACAAGGCATTATACCTGGTTTATCTTTTTTTTCTAACACTCTTTCCTTTGGATATGAAAGGAAAAGTTAACAATGACTCTTGGGATTTTGTTTTCTCTATCACATCACAAAGAAAGAACCATAATTATTTCAGTACTATCATTTATTATATGAAATACACTAAGACTTACCTCTATTCTTTGGCATGAAGTCCCTGGCCTTATCTTTACAATAATGAAGACAGCAGGATAAGATCAAGTCATCATTGTTGCCCTGGAAATAACAATAATTTCAGCGTGTTGAATGCAGATCACTCAGCAGAACATTCTAATCACCACTGTTCTTACAAGTTTCATCCATTATTATACAATGTATTATGTCTCCAGTCTATTTTGATAACTACCCAGGACCCAATCATCTCCAAAGCTTCATTTCTGTGTGACTTCCCTATCACCATTGTATCATTAACGTAGAACAGGATTTTCTAGCATGAAATCAACAGCCAATCCAAGTGACTCGAAAGAAATGAGAGTATGGCATCGATATAAGTTGTTGCTTCGTACAAGCATGCCCATAATATATTCAAGTCAAAACACTGACACAAGTACTGTATATCGCCGAGTATACGGCAAGCTTTTCGTATGTGAAATGAGGGGGCTGAGAAAGGGGGTTGCGGATGGGAAGACCTCACATTTTTTTCCAACTAAGTAGGAGGGAAGTTCTCATACTAGCAGACATTCCCAGGAGCAGTGTTTGTACAGGTAAGATGTACAGGCAACTATCAAATACATACCGTCGCATCTGTCTCTTCACTCCTGAATGATATTGTCTCCAATATGGAACCTTTGGAAGTCTGAGCTCGTATGTGGGAATTCTTTCTTTCAAATTCTTCCTCCAGGAAAACAATGGCCTGCTGTGACCTTGACTTGACTATCCCAGCATGCTCGGCTGATTCATACTGGCCTTCACGACTTCCTTTGGCTAAGCCATCCAGCTCATTGATGACTGGAAACAAGTACAATAGAAACATGTTACAGATTAGCTATTTCACATCTACTAAATAACTGTTACACCTTTTGCAACTATATAAACTGATTATCTATTTCACTTCTACAGGGTTCATACAGATTATCAGCCATCAAATTTAAGGCCTTTTTAGGGGCTTTTCAAGGCCCAATCAACAATTGTAAGGAACTAAGGTTGGTGAAATGTGGGACCGAACATCAGAGGGAGATAACTCTTAGCTACATCGCTGCACTGGGAAAGTTTTGCTTCATGATAGAGATTAATTTACACCCACTGTCATTGCAAAGTATTTTTTCTATGTAATACTGACATGTTTTGCTTAATATAGGGCCTTTTTAGAGCAAACCACTAGCAATTAGGGCCTATCCAAGGCCAAAACGAATTTATAGTCTTTTTAGGGTAAAATGCCTGAATTTCAGGCTTTTCAAGCCCCTGAACCCTGTTCTACTATATGACTGCTGCAACTCCTGAAATGTATGAGGTGTAAATTATTTTACATTTACTAAAAGCTGTTACAACTGATTAAGATAAATCCACTTTTTATTCCTTATTTTTGGATGGCTTCTTCACACACAAAAATCCATGTTCATACTACTCCAGTTATTTACTGAAATAGTGTTGTCAGCTGCTGGAAATGAGATGTAACACTATTTCCCCATACTAAGAAAGCACTCACCAACAAGGGGCACAACCAAGGTGTATTTGTTCGAGTTTAGGATTCTCTTCAGTCCTGGGAGATGGTCGATGAAGCAGTTGGTGTCAGGGATGAGGAAGATTGGATGGATTTCAAGTTCAATTCGACGATGCCGATTCTCATCAAGAATTGCCTGAAAAGCATGAGTGTAACATGTTAAATTTGTCTGGTATTACATATATGGTTATAGATTTAAATATGAGGTAGTATTGTCTAGTGCCTTATGTACCCATATGTCATGTCTGCATAAGCTCAGAGGTACAGTTCTGACAAAACAATGAAGACAATGAAATACAATATTGACAAACTTTATGGATAACTTCTTGTTATTTCATGAGTGCGATGTTCAATACAGATCCTTGAACTGTTTGAAGCAGGAATGAAGTTGTCATCCATAAAGTTCAATATTGTATATCCAAGCTTATTAAATGCCACTCAAAGAAGTTAACATAGAAACACTCATATCTCCCACCAGTGGAGGGTCCATGCCATGAGGTTACACATGATCAAACGTGTCCCTACCTGGACATTCTCCTGGTGCCTGGTCTGTTCATCCTTCTTCTTCTGCAGCTCCTGCTTGCGGGCCTTCAGATGGCGGACATGATCCTCCTCACCACTCTCAACATCAGCCTCATCTTCACTCTCAATTATCACATCATCAGACTGAATACAAATGGAATAACTCAGATACAACATGCAATAAAATACTACTTGGACAAAAGATTTTGCCTACTGGTCTAAAGTTTGAGTTTTGTAAAATTCTGTTCTGTCCACTAAGGCCATCTAATAAAATTTGAAAAAGATGGCTTTGGAGCCAAGCTTGGGAAAACAGACTCAAAAGGTTTTGGTGCAGACTGCTCTTTCTATAGGCAATTGAGGTTGCCAATGTTACGAAACGAAAAAGAAACATTGATAGGTACAGTATGGATGAAAAACAAAGTTTAAGAGAGTAAGCCTGTTGACTTGATGAGTGAGTGAGCGAGTTTAGTTTTACTCTACTTTTAGCATTATTCCAGCAATATGCAATAAATGGTACGTAAAATGGAGACATGCAAGTAGACATTAACTTACGTCTGAGGAATTACCGCCTCTTTTCCTGTCCTTTTCCTCACTGACTGAGGTAGCCAAGGCAACAGAGAAGTACAGTTTTGTTTCAACATTGTAGGAAAGCATGGGTGGCTCAATGCCACATAGGTACTCTCCGAAAAGGCGGAGTTTCTCAAGTCTCAGGCAATCCTTGGCAACCTCCTGAAAATATATAATGGTATTAGTAAAGACAAAACCATGCATATTTGTAATGCCAGAATCAGTTACTGCCATAGTTATCTCAATAACATAATTCAAGTAATATGTCCTCACTCCTTAATGATGCCTACAATGTTACTTCTCAAATGCTACCTCCCACATTGCCAAATAAAAGTACCAGTCAGTGGCCTTTGAACATTTTTTGTATTCATGTTTAATGACATGGTTATCTGTTGTTCCAACTTGCATACATTTCACTAATTTTCAGCCATAGAACATCCTGTTAAGTATTTGACACTAGAATCCCAATGAACAATTTCCTCAGAAACATTCAGGTGTGAAAACAATGATCCCGGTCCAGGGGTGGAAATAAGTTTCAAATTGCTAGTGTACTCCGGTACAGTGGCACATGTAAAGTCACTTGCCCTGATTATTTTCCAACCATACCAACCGTTTTCTTGCTGATTTTTTAAATAAACAACATAATAAACATTGGAAAGTCAACATGACACCAGTACAGTGTGATATACAAATTTGCTTGCCCGACAGAAAAAAACACTGGACTCGGACGTCGGGCAATGGGTTATTTCCACCCCTACCAGTCACACTGTACAAACTTCACATAGTACTCAATATTCAGATAAAGTGTTTTACCAACAAGGCTTTACCACTAAAGTAACATGACTGAGTGATTGGCAATGAGCTTGGTCACACATTATAAGCATCTGATCGACATACCGGTAGTTATCGTTTTTTACATCAAGTAGTGTTTGGAGACCTGACTAACATGATGATATTTCTACCTACTTCCTACAGGCAGCTCACCTTGTCTGTGGTTGTATGGATGTAGCAGCTCTCCACTAGTGCACTCAACATTGGAATGAAGCCTGCCATCGTAGCATCCTCACTCAGGACAATGGGCTCACAGCCTGAAGCAATCACCAACATTCATGATTCATGATAGAGACACAGATCTACCACACAACATTTCATTGTTCATTTGTTGTTTGATGCCGCACTCAGCAATACTCCAGCTATATGGAGGCGGTCTGTAAATAACCCAGTCTAGACCAGACAATCCAGCGAACAACGGCATGAGCATCGATCTAAGCAACTGGGATAGTATGATATGTGTCAACCAAGACAGCAAGCCTGACCCTCCGATCCCATTAATCGCCTCTTAGGACAAGCATGGGTTGTTCAAAACAAATTCTAACCCGGAACTTCACGGATTTACGACACAACAAGACACATAAACCATATTGAAGTATTTGAAGCTGATTTCTAAAAATATGTAATTTTCTGAATAAAATTGATATTTTATACTTATCCTGACTCATACTTATTGCTTAAGCATGAGTCAGGATAAGGAAAAATCTAAAATATTGTGTTGAAATGCCAGCAATTGAAAGTGTGCTCACATTCCAAATCCCAGCTAAAGTGCTGGTGTAGCTTATGGTCGACACCGTTCTAAAAGAAACAAAAACAATAACCACAATCCACAGAACGACTATGACCGGTAATTTGAAAATATCATCAATACACTTAATATCATTATCATTAAACTCTAACAAGTTGGTCTGGCCAGATCTGTCAAACAGTAAACCCGACTTACTTTCCTTCCTGTCTCTGTAGATTTTGACATGTGAGGTGTCCAGTCCTGTCAGCACATTACACAGATTCGACATTCCCATCCACACATCAATGTCAAGCCTGGAATATATCAGGGAAGTCAAATATCACACAGACATCTGTCCGTAAATCGAGTCATCAGATAAATCTTATAGATCTGTGACAGAAACTTCAAGAACTAGTACAGCAGTCTATATTAATTATTTCAGTGGAGTCAGACAAGTGTGTATTTTAAGTCTGCTTTTGTTTTCATTATTCACAAATCAGCTGGAAAATTACATACAAAACTTCGAGGCTGAGAAATATTTGTGTATCAGGATTAATTTAAATCTTTTTACTTTTGTATGCTGATACATTTTAGATACATTTGCAGATTTCATTCTTGAATTACAAAGAAAAATAGATGTTTAGTTTAAGTTTTGTAATATATGGGGTTTGAGGCCTTAATTATGAAAACAAATGAAAAGATCTGATCTGTTAAATGCTTGGAATTAGATGGATACCCCACACAAGCAATGAGTGTCTGACTGGGGCAACCATATCAAACTTCACTGTATATCTGTGGGATAGCACTGTAAGACCAGTATAAAACTAGTACAAGCTGCCATACTCACACAAGCACATAATGCAAGTGCAATAATCTTTAACACAATGTTAAACCCATTTCCACACACTTCATAGTTGACAAGCCCACTACTGCCCTAGCACAAGCTTTTACATACCCAAGGTCCGGGGGCCTGAGTGATGGAGGTGGATTCCACAGAGCAGGATGACACATCATCCAGTCAGACCAAGTCTTGACCCCAGGGACAAGCTGGTGTAGGTCCTCATTCAGCAGTTGGGCTGGGTAGTCTGTGGAACTGAGGTGGGAGGTCAGGAGATCAGAGCAGTGCTTGATGAGCAGCCCAAACATGTCCAGACCCAGCTGGACAGCGTGTTCCTGAAGCAGTGACCGGCACGTCTCTCCAAGACTTTCATCTGGAAGCAGGAGTAGGGTGTCAGCTGTTGTATCGGTCGTATCACAAGTAGTATACAGGTTGATATATATATTCAGTTTTGTTACAGTATGCCAATCTGCGTAGTGCTAAGAATGCTGACCATTTTGCCACATATACACTCAGTTGCATAAACGGTTTATTCATGTCCTGTTCCAGCACACTTATACTACATCAGCAATGTTACGTTCTTGGACCAAACGAAATACCAAAGGGTCGATGCCAACATATTAGTGCCACAGTTTGAAATAATACAGTTTAAACTACGAAGGTTCTTTTTTCTCTTGATATTTTCAGTAGAAACACATGACACATATGTGAGTGAAAATTATCAACGTTTGATGCCATATTTGCTTAATTAAATAAGGTGTGGTGAGGTGAAATTGGGTTTAACGTCGTGCTTGAGAATATTTCGCGCTCATATGATGACGTGCATGTGTGTGTATGTGTATGTGCGGCTGCTTGTACTAGCCCAGACTTAAGCTTGTTTTATAGTGCTAGCCCACTGAGAAACCATGCCGCAGTGAAGCATGAATACCCCACCCAGACACATTATACTGACTCCGAGCCGACCAGTCCTTGTTGTACCCATTAATGCCGAGCGCCAGGCAGGGACCAACAAGTACCATATTTTAACAAATTAAATAAGAACTGCCCAAAACACACATAATGCATCTTCAATGCCACAACAACTGCAGTCCAGCTTACCCTTAAGAGCTGTGTTTTCCACAGCAAACATATTGATAGCCATGAGCTGTATCAGCCTGTTGCTGCTGATGACTACCGGGGAGTTCTGCAGGAGAGCCTCAAACTCTCGCAACATCAGGCAGCTGCCTTCCGGGGAATGTCTCCATACTGAAAACAGTCAGTCCCAAGGTGTTTACTAAGCCACAGTTCTATATGACAGCTTGTATGTACCAAAGCTAGGAAGAGAAACTGGTGTTTGATAGCATGGGCAAACTCAAAACTTTTTGAAGAAAACATATTTAATATAAGTGTTTAGCTACTTGAGATGGATGAAAGGAAAAACATGTAGCTATTTGCACTGTCTAGTAGTCATGGTGAAGTGAGTGAGTGAGTGAGTGTGCTTTTACATCGCTTGTAACAATATTTCAGCAATATCACGGCAGGGGAGACCAGAAATGGGCTTCATACATTGTACACATGTGGGGAATTGAACCAGGGTCTTAGGTGTGACAAGCTGACGCTTTAATCACAAGGCTACCCCACTGCCCCTCAGTAGAATGTGCCATGGCTGTGACACTTGTAGAGATTAAAATGTAGTGATTTGGATAAACAACCGAATCTAGACCAGACAAACAAGTGACTGTCAATATCAACATCGATCCATGCAATCAGCTGAGTCACGGAGTCTGACAACTAGGGCTGCAACGATTCACCCAGACCTGGATTCTATTCGATTTTCGATATTGGACCTTTGATTCGAACATTTTCGATTCGATTCTTTATACAAGTTAAAACATCAGATTTCATTTAACTCTCAGAGTTCAAGTGAGTCGGCGTTTTCAGCGTGAAATCAATCGTCAACTTGGCGATGTCTACTAACAACAATTCTCATTGGATAATTAGCCCGACGTCAACCAATCACATTTCCCCTTATTTCAGCGCTCAAAACTGTTTGAGTTGGGGTCAAAATTACGTTCTGGCTGTGTGGAAATACTTAAACTAGTTTTTAAATATCAAATAGAAATAGTGATAATGGTTATCGAAAATCGAAACTAAGGTGTCAGATTCGATTTTCAATGAATTGAACCGAATCGTTGCAGCCCTACTGACAACCTGATCCATTTAACTACCTCGTAAAGCAAACAGAGGTTGCTGGGGCCCTAAGTATTCCGACCAAGAATCCCAAAAGGGACACATTTTCAAAAGAATGTGTTGCATAAAATATAATCACATTTGTTGTGAGCAAAATTGGGAATTCAGTCATTTGTTGTTTCATATCAAACTGCAGATGTACCGAGATTTCTGACAATCTTGGTGGTATGTATTCAGGGAACACCTTTTCATCACCCAAAGTTACACATCCTTTATGATAGTCCCTGAAGAACTTACCCTATCTTAGTGAAGAGTTTCCCATGCACATTGAGGAAACTAAGCACAAACCGTTTGTTGAGCTGAAATATAAAATTAGATATGTCTCAGGTAAAAAGTGGGTGGTAATTGAGTGAGTGAGTGAGTTTAGTTTTATGCTGCTTTTAGCAATATTCCAGCAATATGACGGCAGGGGGACACCAGAAATGGGCTTCGCACATTGTACCCATGTGGGGAATCGAACCTGGATCTTTGGCGTAACGAGTGAATGCTTTAACCAGTATAGACTATAGGCTACCCCACTGGCCCCTTAATTGCATGAAGTACAGCTGACCTCACACGAGTTCAATGCTTTATGCCCTTTGTTATAAGCACTTCCTGTTTCATAGCCTTGACCTTCAATCTCTTGAACTTCCTAAAAACATCATGGATATGAAAAGACATCACTTTGACCTTAAAGATCATCCACTGATGCAAGAGTCGTATAACAGTTAAGAAGTCTCCATACTACACAAACACAGAGTGTTGCTTGTATGAGCACTAAGCAATATTCCAGCCATATGACAGCAGTCTGTAAATAATTTAATCTGGATCAGACAATCCACGACTGACATCGTGAGTATTGATTTACCCAATTGGGATATGATGACGTGCAGCAAATAAATCATCAAGTTTAACCACCTTGTCCTGTCAACTGCCTCTGATAAAACATGACATATGATAACTGTGGAGTTGACTGATTAAACCTTAGATATTTCATGATGTATCTGAAATTATATCAACTTAGAACTATGTTTCATAATTTGACCTCTGGTCCTTGACCTTAAACAATCAAGACCCAGTCTTATAGATAATATACTAAGTGTACAGTGCACTCTGTCTAATTCGGACCAGCTTGGGACCGACTAAAAAGTCCGAATTATACAGTAGTCCGAAGTACACAGATTTTAATGGAGTTATATCCCTATTATCAGCAGAATTAAAATTATAAACTATTTTTCGCAATGTTATTGAAAACAACGATTCTCGGACGCCTGCTTCGGCAGCGGGTCCACAATAACATTGTCAAAGAGCAAAGTAACGATGTTTCGAGGAATTCATGAAATAAATTGAATAAACTAATGAATGAAATCAACAACAACATTCATAAAAGTTGTCAAACGTACATATAAAATTACTATTTCCATCTTTTTGTGCGATCATGTAATGTAATTCAAGTCACTGACAAGTGACATCTCGGCTCTTGCCGCCTCAATCTTCACACTCGGACAGGATGTTCAATGCGAAAATATATACATGAAGCATTTTGTCACAGGTCATAGCCTAGCACGATAAAGTCGAATCGTTCCATAATTTACATTATAGGTAGCAATTTCTTACTTAATATGTTCAGAATAGCATTATTTTACCCAAAACTTTTGTCTAAATCTAAAAGTTTTCGTTTACGAGGACGGTATCCATTGCCGTAATATGATTGGCTGCCTTAGGTCATGTGTCTGATTTTGACCAATCACGACCCTTATAGCAGACTGTGGCGAAAAAGCGTCATTAGAAACCAATCTTTATCCAATAAAATCACTTCTTACAACTGATTGATATCACACTGTGTCTGATGGCATCTTAAATGCATAGTGACATTGACACTGAGTTGACATGATCGGCTCAATTAAAGTTTACAATTGGTGTTAGTCGCATCATAGGTAAATAAGCGTTCACCGCTAGACCACGCGGTCTTGGCCAAGCGGACTTCCTGCTAAGTAAATAAGACAAAATACACAAACCAATCAACGGAATGTTTATTCAAGGTTTATTGGCCAAGCGGACTTCCTGCTCAGTCCGAATTATATAGCAATGTTTTTACATGTAACTACTTTATCGGGCAGACACTTTGGTCCGAAATCCGAAATAATGAGAGTCCGAGATACAGAACTTTTTTATTATGACAACAAAGAAGGATTACGTCGGGACCGTGAGTTCAGTCCTGTTTATACAGCAATCCGAGAAAGACAGAGTCCGAGTTTGACAGAGTGCACTGTATACTAAGTCACACCACATTGCATTGATAAATACTCAAGTAATCATGCACAATTTCTTTAGCCCAAGTTCATACTAAGAGACCTTGACCTTCAAGGTAATCCAATCATAGGTCAAATATGAATAAATATATTAAACTTACCCCACCCTTACCCACCAAGGCCAATGAAAACTTTCAAACGTGATATCTCACCTCTATAGCAGAGAGATTAGTGAGATCTTCTTCATGTGTCTCGTCAACCTTATCTTCCACACTCCTGCCATCATGAGACACCCAGATCTCAACCCGGGGGCCATCTTGGTGTCTCTTCTGTTTCAACTTCTTCAGTTTTTCCTTGTCGGCCAGTCTCTTCTGTTCTGTAGCTTCAGCCTATCAAAAAATATTTCAAAACACTCTCTTACACTGGCTTTATCAATTACAATTTAGAATAACTATGAAATCAATATACTCATGGAAAAGGTTTACTGAAATGGCATGGAATTTTTGCAAAGCCCATCACTGCTTGATATTTAGAGCAAGGGGACACTATAATATGACAGGTATTGAATGCGAATACTGCAATTGTATGACATAACCTGAGCACTTTCCCTCCCAACTTAAGCAGGTCCTGTTATTATTATTAACGGATTCTACTGCAAATTGGCTATATGTAGAACTGGTGACGATCTAATGTTGTCTTCAAAGCCTAAGAAGCAAGTACAACGGATGTGACAGTAAGTGATAAAATCTCCATGAATTTAATTGTAAAGCTTATCTTCAACAATAAGCTCAAACCTACTGTCTACTATCAACACATCACTAAGCAATCTTATTGCCTTTGTACATCAACCTAGTCCAATGTGTAAACATCATCAACATTATCAGCCTGTACGTTAATTGTATAAGCATTACTTTACCCATGTATATAAATGCTTTACCTACTAAACGCATTGTCGGAAAGCGCATGTTAAGCGTCCACATCATCATCATCAGGAATGTACATCATTTGCTTGATAACAGTGTTAGCATCTACACCGAAACTTTGAATATATTGTATGAAATAAGGCTACTCGTGGGTGAGTAAGGAATTTACGTCATGTGACCTATAAGGGCCCTTATAGGTCACATGGCGAAATCCCTTACTCGTGGGTGAGTAAGGATTTTACATCCTCCTCTTTGAAGGAAACTTCAAGGGATTTCAAGTGTTCCACTATCTTTCGGATAGACTGACTGACTGAGTTTGGTTTTTACGCCGCTTTTAGCAATATTCCAGCAACATCACGGCGGGGGACACCAGAAATGGGCTTCACACATTGCGCCCATGTGGGGATTCGAACCCGGGTCTTCAGCGTGACGAGCCAACGCTTTAACCATTAGGCTACCCCACCGCCCCATCTTTCGGATAGAAGGAGGAGACAAGCAAATAAGCATGAGTCAGGATAAGGAAAAATTACATCATTTCATGTTTCATGTGATGCAAGAAAACACTTTAAACCCGAACACTCAAACTCTTGAACACACAATATCATCAAACTGATACTAAACAAACTGTGCTCCTAAGATATGAAAATACAACAGTCATCACCTTCTTCCTGACATCTTCAAACACTGACATGAGACTCTCCCTCGCTGTGAGGAAAGGGTTGCTGGCAGCCAGACTCCTCATGTAGTAGTACACCGCATCTAGCTTCCTCCTCTGCAAAACACACACAAAATAACAGTCCTAGTTAGAGTAACATTTCTCAGTTTACAGCTACAAAACCTATGATTCTAACTTTTCCGGCTTTGTGGTTTCTTGGCAATCTCATTTATATCAGAGTCTTACTCTGATAACATTAACAGCAGTTTCAGTTGGACAAGTTTCAGTTTCAGTGTCACTCACTAATACATTTGTTCCAGGCAAACTGCAGGTTGTTGGTTATTTTCAGGCTACAGGCATAGTTTCCAGTTCAGAATACTGGATTACCACTGAACACCATTGTCAGTACTCTATGGTCTGTACACACAATATTCCTCTATCACCGAAGAGCACATAAAATCACTTTGGAAAACAGTATATGTTAATGTTGAATGTCTATATTTTAAGCATTGTGCATCTTAACTAATAAAATGATGGCATTTAGAAGGTATGGAAAGTCAAATAAACATTAATTTATGCCTGAATTCTGTACAAACAGCAGACTGACTTTAAATCATGTCACAGACCAGGCAACCACAAGGCAACAGCAATGTTGACACCCGTCAACGTGAAACCTTGCCCTTTGTGCCATGCCAGCTGTTCCTAAATCTGAGCACTTGGTAGCTTCCCTCTGGATCAGGTCTAGTGTGCCGTTGGTTAAATTTGCAAGTACACATATTCACAACCATGGGAGGAACATTGTGTATGCAAACTGGTGAAGTATTTTTGATGACTGTGAACTGTTTGACATTAATTATGTTCTCTGAAAGACAAATCTTTAATATATCAATACTGAAAGCACGAACACTGTTTGATTAACACTGAATCTCTGCAGTGAGTCACTCGCACACTTACCGTATACATGGCTAGAATTGCAAGTTGATTATAGGGTCTTCCATTTTTAGGAGCGATCTGCTGTGCTTTCATGTACCAACTGGAAACAAGAAAAACAATGTAGGTGATTTTGCATGTGAAACAAATCCATCTATCCATTCAACTGAAAGTGAAAGAGAAAAATAGAATAGAAAGTATCTGTTTATTTTTAAAGCTTTTAAAGCCTGTCAATCGTTTCTAAAAGTAGTAAATCCTATGCTTGTCAAAACAGACAGCTAACAGGATTGGGTACCAGACTCACTGACTTGAGTAATGCATGTCATCATATCCAATATGCTTAGATTATGACAATCACTGGATTGTCTGGTCCAGAATTGATTATGTACAGACCAATGTGATACAACTGCAATGTATTACTGAGTACAGCATTAAACTTCAAACACTTTTGATATTGAAACAGAAATAGACAGTTCTGATGACAGGAGTTTTATTTATGCTAGTAATGACCATGTCAATATTACAGTTCTTAAAGGCTGTTTGACATTACTGAATACAATCTGACCGACTCACTTCCGAGCTCGCCCATAGTTTGTGGTTTCATTAGCCTGTTCCCGATACCGGGCAATGTCTCCCAGGAAGATGTAGGTCCTCTGGACACTGAGAAGGGCCAGTTTGACCGATCGGCTGATGTTGTCTCCAGGAGGGTTGTTTACATCCAGAAACACATCAATGTTAAAATTATAGGTAGACTGTAGCTTCTGAAGAAGATTCTGGAAAAACTCAGTACCCTGTGGAAGGAAGCATAAAAACTATTATCAGAAGCAGTTTACACTCTAGTCTTTGTCAGCTGGAAGAATGAAATATTCTAAATGATAATAGAATCTGAAAGGTTTGGGTGTTTAGTTCTTATTTGCTACAGCATCACTAATTTCATTGCAAAATCCAAGTCAATAGAATTATGATATGTACACAAAGATACAGATGTACAACTTGGTAAATCCTCAAAAGGATGAACAAAGCCAACGATTCATGAAAATGAAAAACTTGAGTTTGGATGCAAACATCCCTTTATGATCCTATACAAAGCTACAACCATTTAATGTTGGGAAAACTTCTACAGCTACCTATCACAGAATCATGGTGTGATTCACAAGACCACTGCCCTGTCACTTGATGGTCCCACAAGATGAGCACCTCAGCCGTGCGATAAGTGGGAATAAATAGCATCAAAGTAAACACAGTGGAGTATGGGATTATGCTTCCAACTGTATCGATAGATTGCAGTTCTTTCACAGATGAGGTCTCATTCGGACAGCCTAGTGCTTAAAGCGTTTGCTCGTAAAACCGAAGACCCAATTTCGATTCCCCACATAGGTACAATGTGGGGACCCCATTTCTGGTGTCCCCCACTTTGATATTGCTGGAATCTTGCGAAAAGTGGCATAAAAATATACTCACCAACTATATAAAAACAACCACTGTCTTTTAGGTGAGGTGAGGTGAAATTGGGTTTTACGTCGTGCTTGAGAATATTTCGCTCATATGACGACGTGCATGCGTGTGTATGTGCGGATGCTTGTACATGTACTAGCCCAAACTTAAGCTGGTTTTATAGTGCTAGCCCACTGAGATACCATGCCGCAGTGAAGCATGAATACCCCACTCAGACACATTATACTGACTCCAAACCGACCAGTCCTTGTTGTACCCATTAATGCCGAGCGCCAGGCAGGGACCAACAAGTACCATATTTTAACGTCTTTTAGTATGAAGCGGTCGGGGATCGAACCCATGATCTTCCGCTCAGCGGGCGGATGTTCTAACCACTACACAACGGAGGCGGTCCCACTGTCTTTTAGTATCAAACATTACTTACTTCATTTAGGACAGTATGGAGCTTGTCCTTGAAGTCCTCATCTTCATCCTCCCCCAGGTGACGGCGGAACACCTCAATCACCTGGTAGTACACTGACTTCCACAGCAGCTGCTCAACACCATGCTTGTTGGATACATCTGCATCCAGGAATATGATCTGCTCGTAACGGCTACGTAGTTCATCTCTGAAACAATGTAATCCCGAAATGTGACATGTTGTATTGAAGTAAGATTACTGTATGTCAAAAAGGTACCTAAAGTGCAAGAATGTTTCTTAATACTTTTTTGTGTCTTTTTGTACTTACTGAACCTTGGATACCATATACACAGCCTAAGAAAGTAATTTTTTACAGCATGGTTTGGATTAAATATTCCCTCAACTATCAGATAACTACTGATCAAACTTGAGTCAAACAGTTTAAAAAAATTTAAGCAATTCCTTTAATGTGTACCATATGGCACATCTAATGAGCCCTTTGATCTTAGATGAGCCCTATGCAATTTACATATGCCAGCCAGGAAAATACCTTTGTAACATCTTTAAACTTGGTGAAAGTCAATTAACCATGACCTAGCTAATGATAAGTTATTTACAAAGTTTGACATCTTCATTTCAAATGAGATTGATAATGCTGTTTGCAAGTTCTGAATCCTTAGGTTTACTTTGTGAAAAATACTTTGCATAAAGCATGTAATGTGTGTCCATTTGGTAATCCTTTCCATATGCTTTATCAGCGTACACAAAACATGTCAGAGCATACAGGAACATTCTAAATTGTGTCTTTCAGGTACAAGGAACTCTTACTACAATTTTATCCATTTCATTCTCAGCATTCTAGTACAGAGAATTTTCAACACTGCAGTGTTTGATACTTGACCATCAACACCTGTTGGTCACTATTTGAAAGCAAAAGACACATGGGTGACAGAGCACCAACTCAACTGCCTATTGGCATAAAATATACAAGACAAATCACCATTACCCAATGAACTTTTAGTTGCTTGCCTACAAACATGTATCAAAACATTCAATACCCAATTGTATAACAACACCCAATTTATCCTTTCCAATTTGTGTAACTATATTTCTTTACAGATTTCAGTTTTCTGATTGATTACAAGCATCTCACATACATGTACTCTACTGCAGTGAATAACCCTAAAAGCACAAGATTTATAAACATATTGTCACATTACTTATAAGTTTGAAAAAAAGTCAGAAGCGGTGGGTTGTAGATTGTCACTAAGGAATGACATAATCGCCCTGAACACTGATTTATAATTATCATAATCCCCCGACGCAAATTATCAAATCAAACTTATAAAGTAATGAAAGTTTAAGATGAAGTTAAATGTCAACAAAAACATGGCTAATCAACCTCTCTTGATATCTGGCTCTTTAGTTGTTCAAACACCCACATATTTTCAAGAGTGACTTTGACCTTGACATGAATGTCATAGTGTATGAAATATGCAAAAATAGTACTAAAGAAATTGCTTATTGAAAAACATTTAAGGAAAGTCTGGAAAGTCTCAAGAAAATCCAGAGAACCGTTCTTGAAATATCTTGCTCACAATTCAGGTTAACATGCTGAAATCTTCAGTGTCGCTGTGACCTTGAAAATTAAGTGAAGGTCACCAAAATCGACAGGGCCCTGCGCCTTCCCTGGATAAAGCTTGGTTTCAAATATGAAGACAATCCAGTGCAGGGGTGAAAATAACTTTAAAATTGTTAGTGTACTCCGGTACAGTGGCACATGTAAAATCACTTGCCCTGATAATTTTTCCACTATACCCGCCGTTTGCTTGTTGATTTTTTAAATAAACAACATAATTAACATTGGAATATCAACTGGACACCGGTACAGTGTGATATAAATTTGCTTTTTAAAAACACTGGACAGGGTAATTTCCACCCTGCAGTGAACGGTTCTTGAGATAGCTTAACAATGACATGCAGGTTTACATGCTGAAATCTTCAAAGTGTCGCCATGACCTTGAAAATTATGTGAAGATCACCAAAATCGACTGGGCCCTGCGCCTTCCCTGGATAAAGCTTGGTTTCAAATGTGAAGACAATCCAGTGCAGGGGTGAAAATAACTTTAAAATTGTTAGTGTACTCCGGTACAGTGGCACATGTAAAATCACTTGCCCTGATAATTTTTCCACTATACCCGCCGTTTGCTTGTTGATTTTTTAAATAAACAACATAATTAACATTGGAATATCAACTGGACACCGGTACAGTGTGATATACAAATTTGCTTGCCCGACAGAAAAAAACACTGGACTCGGGCGTCGGGCAATGGGTAATTTCCACCCCTGCAGTGAACGGTTCTTGAGATAGCTTAACAATGACATGCAGGTTTACATGCTGAAATCTTCAAAGTGTCGCCATGACCTTGAAAATTATGTGAAGATCACCAAAATCGACTGGGCCCTGCGCCTTCCCTAGATAAAGCTGTGTTTTGAATATGAAGAAAATCCAGAGAACGGTTCTTGAGATAGCTTAACATGCAGGTAAAACGTGAAAGTCCCCTTGTGACCTTGAAATGAAGGTCAAGGTCACCAAACCTGACTTGGGCCTTTCTTATACTGTGATGAACTTAGGTACCAAATATGAAAAGAATCCAGAGAACGGTTCTTAAGATATTCCAATTCGTATGAACGTATGTACGTACTTAGGTACGGAGCCTAATACTATATCCCCCGCTTCGCGCTATACGCATAGCGGGGAATAATAATATAGTGCTACTGAGAATTTGTCATACACTTGGCCAACAGATGAACAGATACAAATAAGAAGTCACCTGTCAACATGTTTAAGCAAATTTTTTGGAAAAATGTCAAGTCAAAACACTGTGAATCATTTCTTAGTATATACCCAATCGCTCAAAACAATATCTGGACAACTACGATAAGATTCTCTCTATGTTGTCTGTACCTGAGTTTGGTGATCCTTCTCCACCCATCATCACCCGAGATTCTCCGAGACAGGAGGTTGTTAAGTTGGTTGTCCAATGGCTGGGTATCTCGGAGTAGCTGCTCAGACATGGCTCGACACTGCGACTTGGACCTGCCTCCAATTACCTGGTCAGGATCGTAGCCACTGAAGGTAGCAATGTAAGATACACATCACATTTAATGTTGTATAAATATAATATACATAATGGTGATGACATTCTGAATTGATCCTCAGCTTTAGATCGGGATCATACAATTTTACCACAATAAAGCTGTATCACGCACATGAAAAATGTCACTGAATGTGTTCTTTTCTTGATTTGAATGATGATCGTTAGTATGAGACTAGTAATTTTTCTTGAAGACAACTATTTTTTCCATCAGGCAGGGGGCAATTCTGTCACAGTACATTTTTGTGGACTGTTGTATTGATTTCCTACCATAGTTCTGGAACATCAATACATTAGAATATTTGTCTTTCCTTGTTATATCACTTGTTTAAATCCAGTGACATATCATTATTATTGTTTTAGAATAAATGACATATTTCATTACCAAACACATAATCAGTGCTTTAACACAATAAATCACAATAATGTCACATATACAAAGCTGCTTATAACTTCAATATATAGTTACTTACTGAAGTTATAAAACTCCAGATCAAGCTCTTCAAATTCCACACATGAACTAGACACAACAAGAACAAAGTACTTACCCGTGATAATATGGGTCCCTAGTGTAGGTGTCATCAGTGTAGAGGCCACACTCTTTGAATGGAAACTGGGGATAACCAAACATAGCTGCCGGGTGTGGTGGCATGCCGCCATATGCTGGGCCAGGGTATGGCATGTCTGGGTAAGTGAATCCCTGACGGTAGTCTTGATAGTACTGTTGGGGGTGGGGCTGAGGTGGTTGTGGGGGTGGATGCTGCTGAGGCACATTAGTTGGTGGAGTGCTGCGATTTGATTCCTGGGGTGATGAAGCCATCTCACGTTTATCCGGACCTTTGATTTTTGAGTTGGTTATTACAATTGGCTTGTTTGGATTCCTTGGATCAAAAAGCATCTTCCTGCTTTGATCCTGAGTCTGATCTCTGTTCTTCATATGATGGCTTGCCATCATGCCTGCATCTGTTTGTTCTTCCTGATAATATTCCTGCTGCTTGGACTGATGCCCTGGAAGATGGAGAAGTCCACCAGAATGTGCATGTTGAGAGCTGGACATGTCGGACTCGGACCTGTTCTGTTCACCTGACACCTTAACCTGTCTCTGATTCCTATCCAAAGTAACCTTGATATTAATATTGTCTCTGGGAGATTCACCATAGCTGTCATGCCTGCCCCGTCTAAATCCCTCCCGCTTTGACCCAATGTCAAGCTCATGAGAATTATGCCTCCTCTCATAGAAATCTCTCCTCCCTCCTTCTTTCGAGCTGCCTCCGTGACTGTCATGCCTCCTTCTCCTGCTTCCATCAGTCCCAATATCACTATAATTATCCATCTTATCCTTCTTCCCTCTTGACCCAGCTGAAGAATGACGTTTTTTTATGACGCCGTGCTGGTCTAATCCTTGGTGCCCAGGGATCTTCATCCTGATAATTACTATGAACACTTGACTCTCGACTTTCTGTTCCAGAAGGTCTACGTCTCCTCTCCTTCCTGCGGCCACGGAATTCCTGAGATCGTATCACATCCTTTGCTATGGATCCTTTTTTGTGGAGGGGCTTTTTCATATTTAGGTTTGGGTTCTGGAGGTGCTGCCTGATCCATATCACCCGGGTACCCTGCTACACAACTTTCGAGATAGTCATTGAGTCTCTGGGCTTCATCCTGCACCTGTCTGGCCAACTCTTGCTCCATCTCCTGCACCCAGTCCAGTGGTTTTGGTTCCTGTTGGAACTCCTCCTCCAGACTTACATCGCTGCTGGCACTCACGTCACTACTGAAGCTGCCAGTTCTCTGTCGACGCATTGCCGAGAACGAGTGACGTTTGCCTCCCCTCTTTCCCCCTTCCCGAGATCCTGATGTTCTGGATTTGTACACATTTTCCTTCATGTCACTGTCATTTGTGTCTGGATAATTTTCATTTTCTGACTGAGTGTCTGCAAGAGAGTTCTGCCTGGACAGAGACAACCTTGATGGTCTGTTAAGTCTTCTTGAAAGCTCTGGCGAGTCTAAAGTTTCCGAATTTGCTCGAGCAGCTCTCAGGGTGCTCAAAAGTTCTTGTCTCTCTTTTGCCCGTTCTCTTGCAATGTTATCCTTATAATTTTCTTTCACATTCTCCTTCCCAGATTCTTTAGACATATCAACAGGGTTTTCTTCTTCACCTGCATCATTAACAACAGTCACTTGCATGTTGCGCAAACCAAACCGAACATCAACTTTCCTCTGAGAAGGAGACCTGGGACTAGGGGGTAACGGAGAGGTGGGACTAGTAACATCTGACCCTCTTCTGTGATAACCTCTTTCTGAGCTCCTCCCGAGGGTGGAATACGGACTTTCTGATTCATACTCAGGCTGTGAAACTGAATCAGGACTATTGCATCCATCTCCCCTTCTCGTATCCTGTTCCATCAAACGTCCCTTAGGAACGTAGATCTGAATGTCAGGTCTTTTCCCTCTTCTACGATTATCCATCCTTTTATAGGACTTCTTAGGAGTCCTCTTTGGAGATCCACCTTCACCTAGTTCTGTCCCATTTTGATTGGATGCTTCGGCATCTACATGACCTGCAGGTGTGACCCCATTGACCTCAGGTTCAACACTGCTTTCCTTGCTTCCTCGTCCACTTTCCTCTGTATCCTGCTGCTCTAGATCTACATCCCAGTTCTCTCCATCTGAGACACTATTTTTTCTATCCTGGTTAGCAAGTTCTTTGGATATTTTTGTTTTACTCAACCGAGAGACACCTGGTTGATATAACTGTATGGGAGGGCGTCGTCGAGATTGAGCTTTCTTCTGTGAATCGGTAGATTTTTCAGGTTTCTCTCCTGCAATTAAAAGATCAATATACAATTTCACTAATATTGAAAATATTGAATAATAATGAAATATTTTGAAAACATAACATGTTATTGTTTACATTTTGGAAAAACTACAAAACCTGTGACAGTAAGAATGGGAAGTAAACACATCATCATGATCTTAAGTGTGTAAACATTGCAAAAGTGCATTATGTTTAAACATGCCAAACATGCTAAAAGACCTGTGAATAGTGGTATTCCGATGATCGAAAATAATCGAAAATCGATCGAAAGAAGGATTAAAAATAATTATCGATTGTAAAAAACATATTTTCGATTAATAAGAATTTTGTTGTTTTAGTATAACACACTTGAATGAAGTGACAATTAAATTTGACGAATATTCACAAATAAACATGCTCTCAACAGCGTAAAGATATGTATATTGTATTCATAGTTTCGTATTCATCACTATGGTAAATATTACTGTAACCTGTCTATCTATACATGTTACATCTATTGTGAACGTAATGAGATATACTGATAAATATTTCTTGTATTAATTAAACAAAATAATTACATTAACATTAATTAGAAAAAATAAGGGGAAAAACCCTTAAAATCGGTGAATACATTAAAAATAAATATATTTCGATTATAATCAATAATTGTTCACCACAAGTCCTCCGATAATGGATAGTGGATTTGGTTTCCGATTCCCAACACTACCTGTGAAGATCAGTGTTAGAATTGGTCTTCAACATCCCAATGATTCCCATGCTTGTCGCATGAGGCGATTAACAGGATGGTGTGGATAGGCTCCCTGACTTGGTTGATGCATGTCATTGTATGCCAACTGGGAATCGTGTAGATCGATGCTCATAATGTCAGTCTCCTGACTCTCTGGTGCAGACTTTATTATATACAGATCGCAGTAAAATAGCTTAAATATTGCTTAGTGCAGTGTTAATCAACAAACATGCAAAACAAATTATTAGATTATCAGTCATCTTTTCCTGAAAGGTGAGTAGGTATAGTTTTGTTCAAGTTCTCATAGAGGCAGTAAGGAGCTGTTCAACTGAACATGCTGTGCATGCAACTCATAAATACAGAGAAATATATCAAATAATTGTTTGTTCTATGATAAACTTGAAAGTTTAAATTGGTTTATAGAGCAATTAGAAACAGGCATAGCTTAATTACAGCAAAGGAACTGCATAAACATGATTGGCATTCATTTCCTGCTCAACACCAACATTTCCATTCAAATAATCATGAAAATGAATCAAAGACTTGCACACCCAATGGGAATGATAGGAATGGAAATCTAATCAATGAATTTACCGGCAGTTCTAATGTTTTGTCAGGTGTATATATTTACAGTTAACTGATTCTGTAAGCATTTTACTAATCCAAACTGATCCTTATTAGTGGCTTTGCTACGTGTACAAAACTGCAGGTAGTATTGTATGTACATGAACTGTCTAATCACTACCCATAAGGAATTGAAATTGGAATTTTGATGAACTTCTAACTGTAAGTGTCAAATTTCGTGTCCGCTTTCTACCCATATCCATGAAAGTAAAAGTAGTGTACCTATAAAATAAGTCTCCTACTCACATATAAATAGACATAATCTCACCTTTGGGTGAATTTTGAACGATTTCGTGTAATTCTTTGAATGTTATCCTTACAACTTCGTTTTTAGACGCCATTTTCATTTTGAACTCATTTCTCTGGCACGAGAGAACGTGTTAGGGGAGGCAACTCTAAACAAATACCGTTATTTCTCTTCTGCGCGTTGGAGATCTGTGCGTATGAGAGCGCATGATTAATGTTTTTTCACCGCATACTTGTACAAAATCACCATGATTTCTCTGAATAATATTTTTTCAGTTGTATGTAACGCCACTTGAAATAGAGTTCTAACCGTCAAAGGCGTAGTGATTCATTGTGCCAAGTTACGTCTTCTGGGTGTGCCGCTACATGTGAACTTGGGTTGGAATCACGACGTTTGTCCTGTGTGCTTTTTTTGTTTTGTTTGCGGGCATTATTCCCGTGCAAGTTGGTTTCACCAAAATGTTATCCTTACAACTTCACAAACGACTTAACCAGCATATTCGGCGAATTTACCGCATACACACACATAAACGAGTGTGCGAGTGAATATGCAATGTCACGTCACTCATCGTCAGGGGACACCAGAAATGGGTTTCACGCATTATACTGCAGTACCCATGTGGGGAATCGAACCCAGGTCTTCGGTGTGACGAGCGAACGCTTTAACCACTAGGCTACTGAATGAAGGTCTTTGCTCAACCCACGGGGTGTTCGTAAACACATATCCCTCTCACGTAATGTTTTTAACTTTAGCCAGCTGTTTACGGTAAAGCAGTCGAGAGATAACCGTATCCCGTCACAGCATATACCGTATGCTACAGCAAGTCTTTTTATCATGCAAGTAAGGTTTGCTATGAATTCACAATGGCATTTTGGAAAGTGGTCAAATGTAACACATGTTATAATATTGGGGTTACACTTTCTCAGTAAAGTACAGATTCTAGAACTTTTGGTGGGTAGAGTCCTATCCGGGATATTCGACCCTACATTCTTGGAGCTAGGCCCCTAGTCGCAAGAACACAAAGTCAGCCGTCTAAACCACTTTGGTATACGAAGCTGCAGATACCTTTTTGATGTCATTAGTATATGTACTCGCTTGTGGGTATCCTAATTTTCCTTTGAGTAACCAAATAAATTGTACCCACTTCACTCAAACTCAATTGGATATTTTGCCATTTTCCATTAATTGTTAAAATACAATAAAGTTTAAATGTTGGTTTACGTGTTTGTTATTTATATTGATCAGTAAATTGAGAAACGATAAGAAAGACTGCAAGTTGCCAAGTTCATGTGTTGAAATAGAACCTCTCAGTATACCTGTTATTTATCTCTCCACCAGTACACAAGCTAAGATTTGACATTTTTGTGTGCACGCATGTTAGATCAAATTTATTGAGTATTTACAAAAATACAAGCGTATCTGTACGCAAAAGACCTAATAGGAATTGAGTTTTCACATAAATATTTGCGTAATTTACGCATATACGCAGCTTATCTGTACCTCTGCGGCATAGATATCAGTTGTCCGACATTCATTTTTGTGGAAGCCTCGGTGGCTGAGTGATTTAGGCGGCTGACTTTGTGTGCTGGCCATTAGGTGCCTGACTCTGATAGTGTGGGTTCGAATCCCGGATGGGACTCTACCCAATATGAATACTAGAATCTGTACTTTATTGAGAAACTGTAATCCCAGATATACCGTGTGTTACAAGGTTTGCACGTATATCAATATTTTACTTCAAGGAGACAGATGTCCTGCTATCTAAATCCAATATCTTCAAGATGTTACCCGTGAAGATCCGGGTTAGAATTAACCTTCAGTAACCCATGCTTGTCGTAAGAGGCGACTAACGGGATCGGGTGGTCATGATCGCTGGCTTGGTTGACACATGCCATCGGTTCCCAATTGCGCAGATCGATGCTCATGCTGTTGATCACTGGATTGTCTGGTCCAGACTCGATTAATTACAGACAGCTGGAATATTGCTGAGTGTGGCATAAAACTATACTCACTCACTCTTCAAGGTGTTACCTTGCAGCAGCAGTTACATCTTGATCGTACCAGAAGACAGCACATATAGAGAATCTCACCCTCGTGTCTTCTGATATCAATTATATCAACACAAGTTGATAAAGTTACAAATATCCGAGGCTTGCCGAGGATATTTTTACTTTATCAACGAGTGTTGATATATTTGATATCAGAAGACACGAGGGTGAGATTCTATTTATCATCCAAAATCACTCTTTGTTAATTTTCAATGAAAAATGTACATCTCTGAACATGGTTCTGCCATTAGACTTGTAGTGCAGCGATGTCATAGCATTGTGACGTCATCAAGTACATGACGTCATAGCATTGTCAGGGCATTGTACAAAATCTACTGTCAAAACGATATCTCCTAGGAGATATCGTTTGATCTCACACAAGCGATATCTCCTGTGGAACACAGTTTTGGATGATAAAATAGCTTTCATCTATAGGTTGTTTGCAGTGAAAACGTACCGATTAATTTCACTTTAAACAAAAAGGTAAAACAAATAAAGTGAAATTAAGACTGCGAATCCTCATAATTTTACCTTGCCAATTGAACATTTAAATTTCAAAAAGGCATTCAAATTAGGATAAAAGTTGTTTAACAAACGATCATAGATTCAAATCGCTATTACTGGTTTGTATTACAATGGGGTAAGCGCAGTAGTTGGAACAGTTAAACAAATGCACGTGCGGTACGTGAAGAGCGTTAACTTATTACAACCCTTGTCGTTTTCGGTGTTTCATTTGATGTGCATACCCCCTTGTAATACAAACCAATAATAGCCATGTGAAACTATGATCGTTTGTTAAACAACTTTTATTCTAAGTCGAATAAAATTCTGAGATTTAAATGTTCAATTGGCAAGGTAAAATCATGAGGATTCGCAGTCTTAATTTCACTTTATTTGTTTTACTTTTTGGTTTAAAGTGACATTCATCGGTACGTTTTCACTGCAAACAGACTATACTCGCCAGAAGCCCGACTGCATAGGAAATAAAGTGTAGAGGCTGTCATGGTTTCTGTCGACAAATAGCTAAAGTATGGTCGAAAATAGGTTGTTTAACGTTGCACTCAGCAGTTTTCCAGCGATATGACGGCGGTCCGTAAATAATCGTTCTAGACCACACAATCCGGTGATCAACAGCATGAGCATCAATCAACGTAACTGGAATACGATGACATGTGTTTTTATCAGCGAGCCTGAGCACCCGATCCCGTTAGACTCTTAGACAAACCAATTCTAACCTGGATCGTATATGACACAGATTTTATTACTTTTTAAATTGTCTATATTTGGATTTGAAGTTTGGATTTGTACTATGTTTCATACATTCTTAAATGTTCGGTAATAGAATGATAGATTAACATATTAAAAAAAATAGCATTCGATTTGATAATTCAAGTGAATTATATTGCCATCATTTGCTCGTTAGTGCAGCATAACGACATACGCCAGTGAGTTATGCAGTAATCAGTAACATATTGTGGGGAAATCCACTTTACAATATACCACTGATGTTTGTTAGCATTCACTTTGTCGATACAGCTGCATTGAATTGCTATCCGTTTTTATCTTGGCAATGAGGTACAGAGAGCATAATGTAATGGGCTTGGTGGGTGAGCTGTCTATGCGCAGCGCTAGTAAGCGAAAGGTGCCTGAATCATCCCCCTTGTGACCGGGTGTAAAAACCTTGGAGCTAACATTACTTGCAGGCACTTTCAGTGTTGTCATAACCCATGGTCGTCACGATATGGCTGAAATATTGCCGATGTGACGTTAAATCTTAACTCACTCACTCACTCACTCATAACCCATGGTGTGCAGTGCACAACCATGTGCACTTTAAGAACCCACTCATCCGATGGTAGGTGACCAGATGGTGGACACACTAACACGTGCAGTATCATTTGATAAATTACCGGATTTTCCTCGTATCGCCATGCACCATATATTTCAAGATCACGGAAACGTTGTCAGACGTAGGGGTCAACAGATCGTATCAAATAGATCTGAACCCATTTAAACTGAAAAGGAGCCCAAAGAGTGTCCGTGTGTGAGATCTAGACTTGCTTCATTTAGGGCTTTAGCATTGAAAATAATGTGGTTCAGGGACTGTGAGACAAACCTACGTGTGACAACTGCCGCACTGAACAAGTTCATACGGGTTCGTCACTTACGGGATAGACTCACCACGGCCATTTCTACACTACAGAGATGCCAGAATTGCGGAGAACATCAGCCCATGTAGTGACGAACTTCTTCCGCACCGGAGGTATGCGCCCGGGACGACCAATTCGAGGCGTCATTCGAGTTGATCAAAATGTCACTGTGTGAAGAACACTAAGTATGATCACAACAGCGATGGAGACGTAAAGACGGAAGACGTGTTTACAGATGTCGTTAGGAACGTTATGTTTGAATCTGCATACAGGAAATAGGCGGCCGATAGTGTAATGGTGTGGGCTGCCATCTCCCATACAGGTAAGAGACTTGGTACACGCACAGGGCAATTTAACGGCACTACGCTACACAGATGACGTTCTTCAGCCACATGCCCTTCCCCTTATGCAATTAACAAACGTCATTTTTCAACACAACGCCTTTTCTATGAACCACAACATCCAAATGCTGCTGTGGTCAGAGAGCGGAAGGTCGCGGGTTCGATCCCCGGCCGCGTCATACCAAAAGACGTTAAAATATGGTACTTGTTGGTCCCTGTCTGGCGCGTAGTCAGTATAACGTGTCTGAGTGGGGTATTCATGCTTAACTAGCACAAGCAGCCACACATACACACGCATTCAGTTATGTTTTTGTTGTATTTCTAACGGAATTTGTTTTCATAGGATACACAAAGTATGCCGACTGCTTGATTAATGCTCGTGTGTATATATCGGACTGATCCTGAAGTGGTGCCTTTTGCTAAGTAGTGATTTTCAGCATTTTTATTTGTTTCGATTTCCATGGAAACAGTTTACATTAACGGCCACGAGGGTCCGGATTTCGTTTCTGGAGCACAACTTAAAACAGTTTGTTTCAACATAACTTGGCAGGTGAATTAACCAGATCCTGAAGTTGTTTGTGCCTTCTTCTAATTGAGGATTTTGCATTTATATTTTTTCCTGTTTCCATGGAAACATGTTAGACTTAGCTGGAAGGAAGGTAGGTGTCGTTTCTGGAGCAAAACTGAAAACACTTATCAACATTTAGCCTTTAGCTATTAATGATTTTTCTTAAAGAGTTTTCTCCCTTTTCCATACCTTGCTCATGTTGGTATGTATCTTCATGTTTCTTGTCATTCAAATGTTGGATGTCCATGTTCTTGTCAGGAGCACAATGTGGATGCTTGTTAGTCAGTGTTTTTGAAAGTTATCTGTACACAGTATGTTTTAGTTTTAATGTGTTTACAAAATGATTCACAACTAAATCATACACATCTTTCAACCCATGAACACACATCAGTGCACTCAGAGACAGTTTGAAGTGTACATGTATGACCTAAACATTCTCTCCTCAGGGACATGCCATATCTCAACATAAACCAATCAAACACAGGTGACGATCCTGGTTAGAATTGGTCTTCAGTGACCCATGCTTGTCATAAGAGGCAACAAAGTGATTGGGTGGTCAGACTCGCTGACTTAGATGACATGTCATCATATCCCTATTGAGCAGATTGATAGGCATGCTGTTGATCACTGGATTGTCTGGTCCAGACATGATTATTTACAGACAGCCGCCATATAGCTGGAATATTGCTGAAAGTGGTGGCTAACAACAAACCAACCAGCCAACCAACAAATCAAAACAATCATGCATATATTATTCTTTAATAAACCAGCAATGACTACATATCAACAAATCTGAGTCTCTCGCATACAAGATGGGAAACAGCACTATCAATGCTGACAAACGGACACAAGTAAGTCCACACCTACAAAACATGTTGGGTAGTAATGTATGGCACTTGCACATGGAAAATGCCCGAATCAGGCCTCCACATCGAAACAGTTCACAGGCATTACTTGATGGGGTCTGTTCCATTGCATATAATTATGCACAAAATGACGAACCGGATAATTCACTTTGATTACACGAACCATGATGATATCTCAACCATACAACTCAAACTATTCTGGATGGATGTTCATGTAAAATGCTCGTTTATGCACACAGCCAACATATAATATAATTTAGGTAGATTTTTGCCTGGACACATATATGGAGCATCTCAAAACAGACAGACATTAATTCAACCTCCAGAATAGACTGAGTAGGCAGGCAGTATTGTCTTGTTTACGCAGTGTGGGTTTCTACCCTTTGAGCACAAAGTCCTCTCCCTTCTGAATGCTTTCTTGTAGTTCTGGGAGAGCTGCTTTAAGAAGGTCAACTTCATACCCCAACAGTTTGCCCATTCCTAGGTTCTTCTCAACGCCTTCCCGCTGCAAGAAAAATATTTATTTTCCTCAGAATTTCAGCTCAAAGATAGTGGAAGAAACGGAGCAATACAGTACAATCACCGACTTTAATTTTCTTGATGAGCCTCCTCCACTTTATTTGTAGGCGGGACGGACTTAAAACATAATATCCTCAACATCAGTTTGAACACAAAATCTTTAACACACCTTTCAGAAACTGATCAGAATGAAAACAAAGGGTGTGTTGCAAGCCAGGAAGTAAATGTAAGTAAATGAATCACTTATCCCAGGCTTGCAACAGCTCGAAGCGTTTCTCACTCTTCCAAAATGGCGGAGCGATTAACGTTTGTCGCCTGTCCCTAATGAAGAACGTATAAGAAGAGTCTTGATGACGAGCTGATAAATTTATGATTCTTGATGACTACATTGAAGATGTCTTACAAACTGAAAATGCTGGGATGTAAGCTGCCGTTACCATTTCCCATCTGATCAAGCCAAAAAAATTCTTGTTCTCAGCCGTCGAATTAAAATTTCCCTAAGCAGCCATTTTGGTTTGAGAACAAAGCGACCTCATCCAGTGATAGGTGCGATTGCAAGCAGCTGAAAGTTAGCAGTCCGTTGTCAGGCGAATCACTGTGCATCGCTTGCAAGTGATTGGTTGTTTGCAACACACCCACAAATTACTTCACTTGATGTTTCTTACAAGGTGAATCATACCTGCTGGATCCTTTACATGCAAGGTAAATGCCTCAACCACAAAGCTACCAAAACTGATCCTCTGGACTATTTTAACTATACTTACACCCAGTAAAATTGGTGTTGCAAAGTATTTCACTTTTGTCTCATCTGAATAGATGTAGGCACACTCCACTTTGCCTTCCACACCACCCAGAGCCTCCAGCACAGAGAACCCAAACTGAGCTGCAGCATAAGCCATAGACAAGGTGGCTGATCCCTGCAAGAAAAGCATCATGTGTAAAAGAAAAGTATGTGTAAAGAATTGACAGTCATGACCAAATCTTCCTAACTTCATTTAAGCAAATTTACAGAAAATTATCAAGCTTAAAACATCAGCCTACATTTTGTAAATGGTGTGCACTTAATGAGCCAGTGACCAGTCATTGTACTACACTGGGCCTCCTTTCACAAAGCACTAATAGACTATAAGGTGATCGTAAGTCACTAAGGTAACCTTAGTGCAATGTTAAAGAATGGGACTGACTGACTGAGTTTGGTTTTACGCCGCTTTTAGCAATATTCCAGCAATATCACGGCCGGGGACACCAGAAATGGGCTTCACTCATTGTACTCATGTGGGGAATCGAACCCGGGGTCTTCGGCGTGACGAGCCAACGCTTTAACCACTAGACTACCCCACTGCCCTTTAAAGAATGGGAGTTAAGGTTAACGTTAGTAAAGGTTGCTTCATTACAGAAGCCCCTGATCGCCACTGTCCAGCATTTGCTCCAACAGTCTGACACTGACCATGTGTATACTATTAGGGGTGGGTATTGCAAAGAATTTTCATATTGCAATACGACAGCATATATTGTGATATGTATTGCAATAAGCATTTTCAAACAAAAAACTACTTATAATCGAGTGAGTGCTTGATTCATAAATCATGACCACAACAAAATCAAGCAAATGCTTTAACCACTAGACTACCCCACCGCTCCATGTCAAACATGAACTCACAGCTCCAGCTTTAGCCTCTACAACTTCAGTTCCTGCGTTCTGAATTCTCTTAATCATTCGGTCACGTTCTTCCTAGAAAGAAAAGGGATGTCAGACATTATGGAAAGATGTTTTGCCAACTGCTTGTCCTGCTTCAGACACACTGACAGGCAAATGTTCATAACATTATAGAACTGAGGCATTACTTTTCTTGTGCTATCCTGGCGAGATACCATGCCAAAGTTTAACATGAGTACACCACTGAGGTAAATTATATTAACTCTGAGCCAATGAGTCTTTGTTGTATCTCCTTTTTGCCAAGCATAACAAGCACCATGTTTTAATGTATTTTGGTATGCCGGAGAATATCATGGACTGTTCCACACTCTAGACAATGTAAGCACTCACAAAATTAAGTATTTTGTTGAAATACTCAAGATATGAGTGCTTTATATAACTCCTAAGCAAGACAATGAATTTGCTTCAGGTTCAAAGGCACTTCTCAAATAGTTGTTTAAATGTAAGAAATCCACAAGCTTTCAGAATCAAATGAGACTGAAATAACTTCCACAAGATACGTTAACTACTATAGAAATGCAACTGGCATGACTATATACACCACCTAATCAGCTACATGTATTATGCGGAAAGACTCCGTTATATCAGTTTATAACCTCACACTCATATTTAGAAAATGACCTGCCAAAAGATATGTGGTAGGTCAATTTTTTTACAAGGCAATGTGAAACGTAAATCAAGTTTGTCAGTGGGTCATAAATATGTGTAAGTAAAACAAGGCTCTTACTTCAGGGAAAGACACTGGGGGAGTGCACTGTGAGATGATTGGGATAATGGTTGCTCCAGCGTGGCCGCCAATGACCGGGACATTAATTTTTGACACATCAAGACCCTAAAACAAACACATATAATGTTACAATTTAAAGGTCACATGCAACCAAAAAGAACAAGCATAATTAAAACACAACTATCACTTATTCATGACATATAATATACATTGCTGATTATGAAAAAACAAATAAACAAAATTATAAGTTGACTTTGCATTTTTGATAATTTGTTACTGTAAGTCCATACCAAAAGGTATCAGAATCTGCAAAGTTGTGTTTTACGTTGCATGTGACCGTAACACATTTCCTCTACCCATTACATGCATGTGGTTGAGACACCACCAAGTGAGTGAGTTTAGTTTTACGCCGCACTCAGCAATATTCCAGCTATATGGTGGCACCACCAAGTGAGTAGTAATCAACATCAAAACGCTATCATTCCATGAATCCTACATGAAATAAATGACAGAGCTCCAGAAAAGCTTTTGGCCAAGTGAAAAGATACCCATACTTTTGAAACTAAGTGGGCATTTCCAATTTCAAGTGTCTATCTATCTTTTTTAGATGATATAACAGCCACGTTTTCACTCTGCTAGTTTTTTCAAAACCTTGTTATCACTGTGTTGTTTCACTTCCATGCCGCGAAAATCTATTGTTACAAGTTCATTTAAAATATCTGATTGTGAAACAACACTTGCCTATTAATTCCTATAGCAGTCCTCTAATGAGGTTGTTTTCTGTTTGTAGCATAAAAATCTAGTTATATTAGTTTGAGCAAGTGGAAGCTTTCGACCACACTTGCTTGCCATTGTTGATTTGTTTACAGGACATGTAAAAAGAAAACAGCTATTTGATTGGTCGTTACTTATAGATGGGCCAGTCAGTGAAGGGTTAACAAACCAGGACTGGTATTCTATCGCGTTGCACATCTTAACTGCGTTGAGAATTATTCAAGATTCTTTTAATGGTGAATATTTGGAGATGGAAAAACTAAGGTTGTTTCGATTGGCTTGAAATGATACGATATGCAACATGATTTTGATGTATTGGGTGAATACGCATTGCTATTTTGACATAGCGTAAACGTAAATATTTAGTTTCTTTTTCACACGCTGGCATTTATTTTTCTTGTGTATTTCAACTTTTCTATAGCGTATCATACGCAAATATGCAGCTTATCTGGAGCTCCGTGAATGGTTTGTAGGTCCAATTTTTAAACATTTAATACTATTGAAAGACATAAAGAATGGGCTATGCACTTTGTATCCACAGTTGTATGACCTAAAGGCCCTGCATCATCTTCTTGTTTGCAAAGTCAGCTCTGTTAAGCTATGTCAAACATGCTGGTGAAAAATGGATCTGAATCAGATTTTTTAATTGAGAGAGTTCTTATTCACTCCAAGAATTACTGGGTTATCGATCAAATGATTGTCAAACGATCTATAAACTGCTTATTAGATTGATCGCAGAACCACTTATAAGCACATGTACAGATGCTGTACATGTGGATGCTTAGCAAATATGCCAACCCAAATATTACCACTGATAGCTTTTTCTTTGCATCACTGCATATCACCAACACAAAAGATTATGACTCAGAATGGCCATGGTATCTAATGCATAATATAACAGAACAAATGACAGCTGTTGTCTTACCTTTGCCTCTGCAATGAATGTATTTGCTCTGACAACATCAAGAGTTGTAACACCGAATATTCTCTTTGGATCGTAAACTCCTCTCTTCTTAAATACTTCAGATACAATAGGTACAGTAGAGTTTACCTACAAAAAGAAGAGCAACATCAAAACTGGGAGAAGAGTAAACAACCAACTGAACATGATGAAACACAGACTCAAGCATACACACGAGGGTAATACCCAATACCTGTACTTGCTAAGACCCCAAAAATAAATCAAATAGACATCCTATGCCTTTTGTCCTCTTCTAAAGGTTGATTATGGTTTAACGCAGCACTCAGTAATATTCCAGCTATATATGGTGGCGGTCTGTAAATAATAAGTCTGGACCAGACAATCCAGTGATCAACACCATGAGCATTAATTCCATTAACTCTTCGGACAAGCATGGGTTGCTGAAGACCAATTCTAACCTGGATCTTCTGTTCTAAAGACAGCTAAATGTGGTGTTGACTCTGCAATTTACTCTAAATCTGCAATTTTATGTTGACTCTAAATTCTGCAATATTCCCAATTGAAACAATAGAGGCTGGACGAGACAATCTAGTGATAGATATTATGGGCAATTATCTGAGCCCTCAGGGTACACTGGCATGCCTCAATCAAGTCACTGAGTTTGAGTGAGTTTAGTTTTACACTGCACTCAGCAATATTCCAGCTATATGGTGGTGGTCTGTAAATAATTGAGTCTGGACCAGACAATCCAGTGATCAACAACATGAACATCAATCTACGCAATTTGGATACAATGACATGTGTCAACCAGACCAGCGAGTCTGACCACCTGATCCTGTTAGTTGCATTTTGCGAAGTCTAACATTGATCTTCAAAGGTTCACGAGTTTGGCAACTCCTTGGAATCCTTATTGGTTGAAGCTATTAACATGATAAAGATACACTACCAATACTTGTTAACCCTTGACCACTAAACATTATGACTTAAATGCGAGCTAAACGTATTTTCTAACAGAAAATATTAAAAACATTGTTCATAACTTTCATTTAAGAATAAACAAGTGTTTGCCACTGATATGGCAATGTCCCCCGCCGCTAAAGAATGGAATATCTATATTTACTACTTTTTATTTTTGGGTCACATACAAGATGCCTGAAATGACTGGTGTCTGCATAATCACCCAATGTAGGCTGTCAATATACTTGAAAACATTTGGTGCAATGTTTTATGAGATATCGCCTTTAGAAAGCGGTCAAAGTATCGTGGTGACCTTGAAGATAAGGTCAAGGTCACCCAAATCAACTGGTGTCTGCGTAATCCCCCAATGTATGCTGTCACCAAATTAGAAGACATTGGGTACAACAGTCCATGAGATATCATGTTAACAAGGGTTAAATGTGTGAAAAGTGTCGTGGTGACCTTCAAAATAAGGTCAAGGTCACCTAAATAAACTGGTGTGTGAAATCCCCCAATGTGGGCACATCTAGGGATCATGGTTGACATGTGTACCAAGTTTGGTTAAGCTATCACGAATAATTTAGGAGATATGCTTCGGACAAAGTGTGACGGACGCACGGACGGAACTCGTTTCTATATCCCCCGCAACTTCGTTGTTGCGAGGGATAAAAATTCTCCATGTTCATGAAAGTGGACTTACAGGATTTGTGACGATGCCCATGATTGCCTTAGGACAATATTGGGCGCACGCATCAGATAGGTCTCTGACAATAGAAGCATTTGTGTTGAAGAGGTCATCTCTCGTCATTCCTGGAATATAGCAACAAAACATGACACCAAAATGATCCTTTTGTTTCTCATCTCAAATGTTTCTAGAAATGGATCTGAAGAGAACACTTTGGCCACCTTTCATAACCACTATTTGGTGCATACTGCTGCATCGACACAGTTTAAGTGTGTATTAAAGTTTTGTTGTGTAGCCATCAAGGGTATTCTTGTTTATTGAAGCAATCGAAAAATATAGTTCCAAGCAACGATGAGGACTCCTTGGCTTTAGTTCTATCTATTGTATTAGAGGGCAAGAAATCATCGTCCAAAACGGAGCCAGGACACATTTTCGACAGGCGAGTGGATCTTCCAAATACAGCCGGGGTCGCTGGGGTCATGTACCTTTTAAGAAGTTCTGGAGGAGAAATAGTTCCCTCTTTAAAAGGCTGTATCTCAGTTGTTCTTGGGTCTACGGTCAAAACAATTAGTGTTCTGGAATCACCAAGACTTCATCTACCATACTGGCACTGGACATCAGTTATGGAAAGTTTGGAATGTCTAGAGCTGATGGTTGGAGCTCAGCACATTTTGGGAGCAAACTACTCAGAAAACAGCTCAAAAACATGGCCAAAAACTAAAAACAAAAATAACTGCCAAACGGTACGTTTTAGCAACTTGACCTGTCCAGGCAAAAGTGTTGGGAATTCGATTGTGCATCTGTACAAGAGATTCTGAAGTGTTGCCGTCAAACTTTGAAATTTTGGAATGAATTTTGAATTATCTCCACTTTGCTATTGGGCCTAGAGCCTAGGGATTTTTAAGGGGAATATCTACACCTCAGTGCGCATCTGTGTGATTTTTGTAAGTGATTCGGAGCATTGGTTTAGGAGTTATGTTTGGTACAAAAATCGGCGGAATAATAAATAATAATAATCCGAACAGTTACAATAGGTCTCCTGCCTAGAGGCAAGGAGCCCTAAATATATATTTACCAGGTTTTCTGGGAACTCCAGCAGGAATGAGCACTAGTTGGGCACCACTCACACATTCCTTGAGTTGGTCTGGTCCAAGGTAACCAGTAACTTTAGCTTTTGTTTCAATGTGACTTAAATCAGCTGCTACCCCAGGAGTATGAGCAATATCATACAATGCGAGTTGACTAACAAGTGGAGACTCTTTTAGTAGCAGTGACAGTGGCTGACCAATACCGCCACTGGCCCCAAGAACTGCGACTTTTGTATCAGTCTGAAACAAACAATGCTAATTAATATGCTGTGTACATACAATTATATTTTTAATGGTCCAACCCAGCATATCTACACCAGTAATTTCAGTAATGCTTGCACATGATGTAAATAATATTCAAATAACAAAACAAAAATGTTTCTAAACTTTGACATGTTCAAAGGGACAATATGACGATGGTTCTGTGTGTTTAAATCATGCATGAAAAAAAGCTTTAAAGTGAGAAATGTACACCTGCTGAGCAAACACTTCCCTTGCAGAAAGGAGTTATATGAGTAAGCTTGGGGGTTATTGGCTATTGTTTTCAACAATGCTTTGGAAAGGTCAAGCAACTTCCCTTTAAAGCAAATGGCTATCTTTTAGCTGGATTACTGTTAAACTTCTTCAATCCACACACAATGACTTGGTTCGTTCCCAGCACAACTTAGGCAGCGTTTAACTGTACTTCAGCCAGTTTATTGTATCTTATTGCATGTGTGGAATGGCTGGACATTGACAAAATGTTAACTGACACTGTCAGTGTCACACCACCCTCAAAAACAGAAAGTTTAGAACTATCACAAAGCGTTGTAAACACCTTTCCAGTTTTGTCAAATACTCAGATCAACAAGAAAGAAAGCAGTTTTAGAACTATAACAGTCAAGCATCACAAGCATCAATGGTGGATCAGAACAGATCGGCGATATGTCATATTTTTCACATACATCAAATACACCTAACAATTTTTCTAAAATATAAAACTATCACTATTACTTGAAAACACCTTTCACCTGATGTCAGATGGTATATTCCCCTCATAAAAATTAAAGGTGTATGTGAAAGAAGTTTTAGAACAATAACTAGAAACACTCACACAACGCCCTGTAGTATTTCAATGGCGGATCAGATCAGCGATATGTCATATTTTTCACACACCTCAAATACACCCCAACATTTTTTTAAAGTTATAAAACTATCATTATTACTTGCAAACACGTATCAACTAAAGGTATATTTCCCTCATAAAAATTAAACGAATATGTGAAAGAAGTTTTTAGCGATACAACTTAGTCTTTCTTCGTTGTGTACCGAGAATTGAAGCCAGTGAGCTACAACATGCCGACTTGAAACTTTACTACAAATCTACTGTACTAATACTGACACTAATAACAATTATTTGACTTACAGTGAAGTGACAGAATAGGTATCTTATCTTCTACATGTAGGTTTCAATTGTCACAACACTCAGCGAATGTAATCAACTGTTGAAAATAAACCGGGCTCTATCTCAAAAACTAAGCTGCCGCCATATTGGTTACACTGGTAGGCATACGCTAAGGGGCTTTTCGAGGAGTGACTACTCCCCGGTTTATAGTCTCCCTGGTATAAATGAGATCATGATCAGGTTGGGGAAACCTACCGATCGGCCTATAAAAGGATATTATAGGCCGTTCTGCCTATTTTGCAATAGGCCGATGAGGCTATATGTGACCATTATTATTAACATTTCACAAACTATCAATTTCCGCACGAAATGGTTTTATTAGATCATAGAGATGAATAGTTAATGGACCTGCTCAGCTTAAAAAAAATAAGTTTTTGGACAAATGGAAATTTATATAATGTTCAGGAAAAGGTGTTTCATTTCAGAACACAAATTTGCACAGATTTTCATTTTGACAACTAAAACTGAATATCTATGTCATTAATTTTCAGTTAACGGCTTATTATATCCCGTTTGGCCTTTTATAGGCCAATCGGTAGGTTTCCCCAACCTGATGATTAGCGCCAGCTGCTTAATCAATTATATTTTTTTTGGTATAGTATGCACAAATGTGAAATTCCGAATTGGAAATGAGACATTTCAATAATTTGAATGATGTTGCAATTTCAAGTAATACAACTGCCGCATCCCCGAAGGAAAGGACGCACATAACATTTCATGCTAAAATCAGAGCTATGCCCTTGAAAATACTTTGTCCATGCACAGATGACGTGATTAATGCTTCACTAAGACATATATTACATTCTTCTCGCATGTCAGCAATAAAGCATTAGGCTTATACAAGCTAGACTAATATAACGATGCTATGAGCATCTGCATCTGAGCAGCGACAACACCGGTACAGGTCTTCGATCTTGCATCGCCTTACACAATGTCACGAATCCGGGCCACATGGACACCGGGCACTTGTTGAGGTGTGCAAACGTGAAATTGGGAGCATGTCTATCGGATTTAACAGCAATCGTGAAAAGAATAGTAAAAATCATATGTTCTGAACCTTCGCACTCGTCGAAAAAGCATTCTTGACTATGCTGATAATCAGCGGTTGACGTGCGAGCCTTGAAAACATCTTCTCCGGTCTTGAGGCCTTGTCAATATGGCGTACAACAGGAAGTCGTGGATAATTGTAATACGCATGCCAGAAGCCATTTTGGTATTCATCCGCACATGGCAACGCGTCTTCCCCTAACATTATAGCATTTACAATTCCACGTAGACGATTAGATATAATGCAACATTGTTATAAAGAACCCAGATACTAGTTATTGCCAAAGTGAAAGTGATTGTTTTATCCGAAGCTTTTAACAAGAAAACGTGATATATTTTATTTGGCGGATGAACATTTGTTTACAAACTGGGTGAAGAATCAAGAAGTGTCATCTGCTAGCTGAGGGGATTCTGGATATCGTTTCTACTGTGTACAGATTTCACCATGGAAGGGCTTGAATTTATGGAACCGTCTGATTTGTACAATATGCTACAACAATCAACTGTGTTCTCATGTTTGAGTGATCCTAATTATCTGCTACTTATAGGTAAATACAATGAGATGTGCTTTATCTAACCAGCTGCTCACGTTTGTTTACAGTATGTTTTAGTAGGATGTGATCTGATTTGATGCGTTACCACCCAGATCCCTGTTATTAGTATATATCTTTAGTGATATCAGACATTATTTAGAATATTTATTCTTTGCATAACTGGGAAATAGTGTTATCACTGTTGTCACTACGACAACAACAACGACTATGTTGATCAGGGACCCCGAACGCATAGTCACAATCAACATATTTTTCAGGAGTATGGATGTTGGAAATGAAAACTAATCTTCACACTTACATTGCACGGATACCTTTTGGCCATATTTTATGGCATATTGATGCATCTAATGAAGTGGCATGCAAGAGCCTGGCTATTTAGAAAATAGAGTGATAAAGTTGAAAACATAGTAGAAGAAAAGTTAACCTCAGAATCAAATATTAAAGCAATCCATAAATGTCAAAATCACCCCCCAAAAATCACATGTTACTATTAGAAAATTAATCAAAAATAGAAATTCTGTAATTCATATAAACTGGACAACTACTGAGGTAGGAGCTTGCATACAGCCTTGACTGAAATAGTGGAAGTTATCTGGTATAGTGCGATCTCACTAGTCTCATTAGAGTGAGTTTAGTTCCACGCCACACTCAGCAATATTCCAGCTATATGGCGGCGGTCTGTAAATAATTGAGTCTGGACCAGACAATCCAGTGATCAACAGCATGAGCATCGATCATCGCAATTGGAAACCGATGACATGTGTCAACCAAGTCAGCGAGACTGACCACCTGATCCTGTTAGTCGCCTTTTTACGACAAGCATGGGTTACTGAAGATCAATTCTAACCCGGACCTTCACGGGTAGTCTCATTAGAGACTGCTGTCTTGATGTAATAATTACTACGAAACTGGTTGTTAATGTCATTTTCAGTTTAAATTCGTTGTACTGAAAAGTTTTGAATGTATGTTACATCTATACTATGTTTACAGTTGTAGTTCTACAAATTTTATGATTTGTACAATTCACATTGTTCAACCATTGTTACTAAAATATGATCGAATTCTTTTTCCAGATTCAAGAAAACGTCATGAATATAATGAAAGTCATGTGGTTACAGCTAAGAAAGCCCCAAAGGTAATATTGTATTTACTCTGTTCATGTAAAACTATACATAATAAAAACTTACTACACATGAATGTAGCTGTACATAACAAGCTTTCATCAGTCATCAAATATATATACATATGTCAGGGTAGAGACTGCGATCTCCGATTCTACCAGTAGAGATTGCGATTGGAGTCTCTACCAGTAGAGACTGCGCTCGGAGTCTCTACTGGTAGAATCTCCGATCCTACTAGTAGAGATTGTAATCGTAGTCTCTACTGGTTGAATCGGGAGATTCTACCAGTACATTTTCCAATTCAACTGGTAGAAACTCTGATCCTACTAGTAGAGGCTGCAATCGTCTTAAACTGGTAGAAACTCTGAGTGATCTGTGGGTAAACAACAAAGACAGTTTTTCTGAACAGTACTATGCATTTTATTCAGATATAACACTAGACTGTTTCCACTTCTACAGATATATTAAGGACTAAAAATACAAATCATATTACAATATATACATATATATTGTCAGCTTTTTGGGAGGATAGGTGTAGGGCTATTCCCCACCAGGTCATTACCCCATCTGCCATATCCCCACCTGGTCATTTCCCCACCTCATATTATTGCAAACTTGGCATTAAATTTTGATTCTGCAACTCTTATTATTGAAACTATGTCACTTGTCAGACATTTGCATGGTTTTAGGTCACTTCTTTTTGCAAGGATATTAGGTAGAAAAAGTGTCATAAATGATGTCCTTAAGGTGTTGGGTAATGGTAAAGTGTGTAAATAATAATGATAATATTTATATAGCACTAAATCCAACCACTAAGTAAATCCCAATCATCATTTGCTTAAATGTTGAAATTGAAAAAATTCTGGCCACCCATGAAGGTCCGGGTTAGAATTGGTCTTCAGCAACCCATGCTTGTCATAAGAGGCAACTAAGGGGATCGGTTGGTCAGGCTTGCTGACTTGGTTGCCACATGTCATCGATTCCCAATTGTGCAGATCGATGCAGATGCTGTTGATCACTGGACTGTCTGTCCCAGACTCGATTATTTGCTGACCGCCGCCATATAGCTGGAATATTGCTGAGTGCGACGTAAAACTAAACTCACTCACTCAATTATTCTGTCATTTTTCACCAGCACAGCTATTGTGTGCAGCATCTTTGTTTTTTCCAGACTCTTAACATATCAGTCTGTGTCAGACCCTTTGTCGTGTTTCAGTTTAATTCTTGACTTGGCTAATACACTGTACTTCCACCTTTTTCAAAACCTTGAAATTGAAATACATTAGTCTACTGTCTTAACTGCCATATGGGGCGGTGGGGTAGCCTAGTGGTTAAAGCGTTTGCTCGTCACGCTGAAGACCCGGGTTCGATTCCCCACATGGGTACAATGTGTGAAGCCCATTTCTGGTGTCCTCCGCCGTGATATTGCTGGAATATTGCTAAAAGCGGCGTAAAACCAAACCTCAATCAATCAATCAATAACTGCCATATACATGTATACTGGCTGTTTCAACTGAAATATACATATGCATCCTGTCTTTTTCAGAATGAAGATGAGGATTACGTTATACCTTATGATGCTGAACTGGAGTGTAAACAGAACATTGTTGTGTATGACAGTAATACTGCATCATTCAGGGATGAAGGTTAGTTCAATTTACATCCTACATGCATGAAACTGACTATGATGATCAGTACCAAGTATCCGGGTTTATCAAAAGGATCAACAAAACTAAATTTTGGAATATTGCTGAAAGGGCCGTAAAACCCAACTCACTCACACGCACAGTGTATATCATTGCACATACTATAAGCCTCTGGTCTGCTTCCTAAGGCTACCCTCTTTGCCGGCTTTCTGATTATTTGATTATCTTTAATATTAATGACTGCATCCGACCATAATATCATTATTTCCCTATGGATTCTTAGTGACTTGCATTCAAACACACATGAATATTTAGTATAAACTAATACTAAAACAACTCTGTGTAATTTCCCATTGTATCCTATTTAGCTTGCATATCTGTTTAACTTTACAGACCTTTATTTCCTGGTCAATTGCAAGCGTCAGCATACACAAACTCTACTAAAGTGAATAATGCATAAATAAAGCACTACGCTTATCTTGCTTATTGTAAGTGAAAATTGTTTATTCAGAAGTAAATAAGGCCACCGGCCCATTTCACATGTACAGGCAAAATAACAATAGCGTTTCTTTATTGAGCACCAGTTGTAGTGAATACATATATGTAGTTACAATGAATACATATATAAATACGTATTATCATTATATTAACTTCAAAAAACAATTCAATGCAAGGAAAACATACTTTGCAAGACAGTTAATAATGTACTTATTATCAGATTTACAAAGTAAATACATTATTTTTTCTTATCCTGACTCATGCTTATTTGCTTGTCTTCTTCTTCTGGCGAACCTAGTGGAACACTTGTATCTCCCAATTGAAGTTCCCTTCAATAAAGAATCACTCATTAGTACTCACCACGAGTTACCTCCCTTCCGTAAGGGCGGGAACGAGGGCGCCACCCAAGCCCATGTGCCTCACTCTCTCCTTCTTCGCCCAGTGAGCTGGACGTGAGAGCACCTGTGTCTCCCAACACACTATATCCTTTAATTATATTTAGTTAAGTTCCTCTTATACGTTAGTATAGAGGTAGTACTAGTATAATTATTCAATTTGCATTGATTATTAATTGTGTTTCTGCTGTTTTATTCACGATTCATCGTGTTTGTTCAGTAGGCTACATTAATGAAAATTTGCACAGAATGTAAACTACGTTATTCTGATACCGATCCACATTTAAAATGCCCTAGTTGCATTACTCCATGTTCCTTTGATTCTCGTAAATTTTGTATCAATTTACCTATCTCTGCCTTTGACAAATATTTATGTTCCGTTTACAGACGGAAGGCAGATAAATCCCGTAAACAGAATTCAAACATGGCTAATAGATCGCAAATTAATGTTTCATGTCAACTGTTGACTGAGGACACGCCACCGGCTGGTTGCATGCCTGAGTTTCCCTCGGCGGATAAGCGTGGGATGCAGTCCGCTATGTCCAAGAAGCGACCTGCATCTCAAGAGCTGCCGTCTTCTCAGTCCAAGTCGAGGAAACCATCCATATCATCTCGTACATTGCGTACACCAAGATCTACAGCTTCATCTAAAGGGAAGTCAGCAAAATCTAATAATTTTGCCTCTGATATTTTACCAGTTACAGAATTAGCATTATATGATGACGATATGCCAATTATCATTCCAGAAGTTCGTCACAAGAAACGGCCCGTTTCTGCGACTATCACCTCAGCGCAGATGAACACACAACCGGAGATGCCGACTCTATCACCAGAAATTTTATCTGAGGGTCCCGTCACCTCTGCAGAGAGACATCCCTCATCAACGCAGACCGCGTCAGACGACTTGATCAACCAGATAATGAGGGTGATGGAAGACTGCTACGGCTTACAGAGGCCTCAGAGCCCACCCCATATCAAGTCATACAGGGCCTCAGAGCCCGCCTTGACTTTGCGTAGGGCCTCTGAGCCCATAGACGCGCCTCCGCGAAGGGCAACCCTGCCCGGAGTGAGCTCTTTGCATAAGGTATCCCAGGCAGCCTCGAGAAGGAGCCAGAGCCTCACCTTTTGCAAGAGGCTTTCGGAAGGAGGCGCTTAGCCGAGTACGCACCTTGTCATGCGAAGGAAGCGTCCAGCGAAGCAAAGCTCATATGTCGGATCGGACACTGAATCCAGACATTCGCGTGGGACGCGAAGGCTAAGTGGTTCTACATCGCCTAGAAGGCGATCGCGTAGCCCTCAACGTTCGAGAAGTCCAGAGCGTCTGCGAAGCCATCACCGTTCACGAAGCCCACAATCTCCGCGAAGGATGTCTTCTCCAAGGTCTACATACACTAGCCACTCGTCAGTCCGTTCTCCTCAGTCCTCACATAGATCTTCTTACAGATCGAGGACTCCGACATATGACCATACGTCAGAGGAGGACGATGGTATCATTTTCTCAGAGGCTGAGATAAGGTATTGGATGGTAAACGAATTACAACTGGCCTCTCCCTCTAAGAACAAGGATACAGCCCAAACTTACCTCATGTTAGATGATGATGTAGATCATATCACCGAGCCTCCTATGGATCCTATCGCAGCCGTTCCTGCTAAACTGGATACAGCCTACTCCAAATCTACTAAAACTCAACTTACCCATTTACCGTTCTTCAATGCCAAGAGTTTTTATTGACATAATATGGAGCCCTTTTTCAAGACTCAGGAGATTGATGAAAACTTCAAACTTATCAGTGATTTGAAGTCCAGAAGTTATAGGGTAGACGATCACAAGATGGCCCAATTAGATACCATTTCCAGAAGGATGTTCTTCGGACTTAATAGATCTAGGACTATTAACGAGACTCTCATCACCAAGTTCAAGAACTCCACGGATGAGGAAGACAGGATGATCTATTCAGCTCTACTTATGCAGAAAAAAGATCAACAATTCCTTACAGACCATCTTTCAGCTCTTACTGAAGCTACTACCATGACACGTCGGCAAGGATTACTAGCCTCCTGCTCTTGGAATAAACAATTCACAGAGCCCCTATACACAGCTCCATGGTCTTCACCCTTACTGTTTGGTGGCAACATTAACAAGGTCTCCAAGGAAGTATCTAAAGATTCTAGAGAAGTACTCATGATTAAATCTATGGATACATTAGCGAACGTCTTTAAACATTCAGCACAGAGGTACTCCGGCAAGTCCAAGTTTTCAGGGCTACAGAGAGCACGGGATAAGAAATTAGCGGCCGTTAATAATCCCAAGGATTCTTTTCGTCGCCCGTACAACAAGTTCAGAGGAGGATCAGCTAGAGGCAGATCATCCAGAGGTGCCCGTGGATTTAAACGATGAAAGTCAGATTCGGAACGACTGGAGTCTTCCACCCCCAGCCGTTCCAGTACAACCGTCTCAAGTGGGTGGACGACTACAACTTCACTGGGAAAACTGGGGAATACTTCAAGATCCGTATGTATCCAACATCCTTCAGTACGGATATCGTCTACAACTCAAGGCCAAGCCACCATTAACAGTCAACCCACCAGGGTTCAACGTTCATCTGGCACAACTACCGATGTTAAGAGAAACAGTTCAGTCTCTACTAAACAAACAGGCCTTAGAAGTTCTCGATCAGCAAAACATCATACCAGGTTTCTACTCCCCAGTTTTCCTAGTGCCGAAAAAGAATTCCAAAGAGAAGTACCGTCTCATTTACAACATGAGCACATTCAACAGAGAATTTCTATGCAAACCACCAGCGTTTCGCATGATACATTTACCTCAACTCCGTCATCTAATTCGTCCACTAGATTACATGGTAAGTTTAGATCTGTAGGATGCATACCTACACATTCCGATTCATCCCAGTTCAAGGAAATATCTGAGATTTATGCTAGACGGCATACACTACCAATGGAAAGTACTTCCCTTCGGAATCACTCCGGCCCCATTGATATTCACAAGAGTAACCAAGCCTATTGTCTCATACCTACATCGTCAAGGCCTGCGGAATGCATTTTACCTAGACGACGGTATACAGGTGGATCCAGATCCACAGCGTCTCAGACTACAGCTGAACTTTACAATCAAGCTTCTAACGCAGTTAGGCTGGTTAGTAAATCTACTAAAGTCGGACCTAGAGCCCACGCAGGATCTGCAGTTTCTAGGTATACGATTCCTTACAGCTCAGAATCGTATGGTAGTCCCGGAGGACAGATGGATCAAGGTACAACAACTGATCCCCCAAGCCCTACTCTCTCCGTTACCACTACGACAGTGGCAGAGTCTACTGGGACTACTCACATCAGCTCAAGACTTGACACTCAGAGGCAGGCTTCAATTATGTCCATTACAAGTCCTCATCAATGCCCATCTCGAGGACCCTCTACCGTTCAGTCTACCAGATTACATCAAACCACATCTACTCTGGTGGACCAAGAGATTGAATGTTTGCGCAGGCGTCTCCTTAGTAGAGCCGGAATCGAAAACACATCTCTTCGTGGACGCGTCACTAAAAGGTTGGGGAGCCCACCTTACCGGCAGGACAGCGTCAGGCCTATGGAGCATTCAAGAGAGCTTATGTCACATAAATCTGCTAGAGATGCAAGCAGTCATAAACGCCATAGGTCACTGGAGCAACCTATTACAGAACGCTCAGTTAATGATTCACACAGACAACTCAACAGTGGCGTTTTATGTGAACAAACAAGGGTCAACAAGATCACTGAATCTTCTCACTCGATGTTTCAAACTGTTCGAATTAGTCGACAGTCTAAACATACGTATCAAAGCCTGCAACATTCCAGGAGCAAAGAATGTGTTAGCAGACGCTCTCTCTCGGCCGCACCAACCGTCGCCGACAGAATGGATGCTCCACACAGAGATATTCAATCAGATAATCATGGAAATAAGATCTCCTCTGATAGACCTATTTGCCACCCGATTCAACAATCAACTGACAACCTTTCGTGATCGCCAGTGCCAGATCCATTAGCTAGGGCAGCGGACGCACTAAGCATATCATGGGAGGGACTAAGCGTGCGACGCTTTCCGCCTCCTGCGTTAATCCCACAAGTCTTGCTAAAATCAGTCAAGCGAAGAACCTCGATCTGATTTTGGTCTCGCTATACTGGCCAGCGAGCGTGGTTTCCAGACCTCATACTAGGAATCGGAAAACCAGTACTTCAGCTCCCACTACGGCTCCAATCTACTGATACATCCGCACACCAAACAAGTGCACAAAACACCAGAAGCATTCTGACTTCACGTGTGGATTGTATCAAGGCATGTTTGAATAAGAGGTTATTCCACCAGAGCCGCGAAGGCGTCACGCTTGCACTACGTAACTCTACTCCTAGCAATGCGATGACAAATGGCTCAGATTTGTCAATTATGCTGCTAAGAAAGGATTTTCAGCCAGATTTGCTACACATCCTCAAGTGGCAGATTTCTTATGTTTCCTACGTCAAACTAAGAATCTAAAAGGATCTACACTGTCCACTTATCTTGCAGCCATAAGTTCAGTCATAACAATGAGAAGCGAGGCGTCAAATTGACTAGAACACGGAGTTACTCGCCTTGTTTACGTGCCTTCGATTGGAAGACCAGAAGCGGAAGTTTCAAAGCCAGCCTGGGATCTAAATGTTGTACTACAACACCTCACAAGTGAGGCTTACGAGCCATTGTTATCTCGTCATATGAATCATTGACCCACAAAACCTTATTCCTGCTAGCATTAGCCACTGCGCCAGGATGTCTGAAATTCCGCGCTTTGGATTACGAGAGAACACGATTTGATGATATTCATAACATCGGCTCATATGGGACTTGGCTGGGATTTTATAGCGAAAAATCAACTACCAGGTCAACCAGACAGGTTGTTCCATGTCTCAGCTCTCTCATCCATACTTGGACCGCGGGATCACGATGGACTTATCACTTTGCCCTGTACGTGCACTGAAAATATATCTCCAAAGATCCAAGCAAAGTAGAGGGAAATTCAAAAGATTGTTTATCCCTATATCTACCGCCTCACAGACAGAAGTGTCGCGCACTACCATTTCTATTTGGATCAGAACTGTCATACTAAGAGCCTACAAGGCAGCTGGACTGGACCCTCCAAGTGCTACTAATCCTCACGAAATTAGAGCACTAGCTTCAACTTTGGCTTTACATGGAAATTGCTCATTGAATACCATCATGGAGGGATGTTTTTGGAGATCCGATATGGTGTTTGCCAACCACTATCTGAGAGATATCACCACCAAGGACGTCTCAGGTATCCACCATTTCGGTCCCATGGTCCTCGCTCAACAGTTGACAGTTCCACGGAGAAGATAAGTCTATCTTGTTGATTTTATACTTATCTGATAACAGTACTAATAGCTACATGCTATCTATATATATTTGCTTAAGTTAAAATATTATCTTAAGCTCAGTACTATGATTTATATCATAATATATATATACCTACAACTCTTACGAGTTTCTACTATTATATATATGTTCAGCTTAAGTTTCTATCCTTAAGCTCAGTCATATATTCATTTCATAACATGTATAAGTTAACAAACTCTCAGTAGTTGGTTACTATTATACAGCTTAAGTTATCTTTATACCTTAAGCACATTTCTATTATAGCTTATATATATGCATATTGTAAGCTTATTACTTTGGTTCTTATAAAAGTATTCATTATAAACTATCAACAGTTTATACTATCACATTAATGGCCTTAGCTTAATTAATGTTGTATATACTTTTATTATATGCAGTAAATTGTAATAACCTTCTTTAAAGGCAGCTGTTAATTTAGCAGCAGGAATTCAGTTCAGTGCCTTCATGAAGTTCCCATACGGTTATTACAATCATATCAGTTCAAATCACTAATTAGTAAAATCCAAAGTATATATAATCCCACCTCCTAATCCGTAGGATTCTACAAGCAAATAAGCATGAGTCAGGATAAGAAAAAATATGAAATTTTTAGAGTAAAATTAATATTTTTATACTTATCCTGACTCATGAGGTAAGCCCTCCCGTCCTCCCCACTTAACACTTTGGATTTCTCGGGAAAAAGAAAGTGTTGGGCTCAAAGCAAAAAAGGAGAGCGTGAGGCACATGGGCTTGGGTGGCGCCCTCGTTCCCGCGCTTACGGAAGGGAGGTTACTCGTGGTGAGTACTAATGAGTGATTCTTTATTGAAGGGAGCTTCAATTGGGAGATACAAGTGTTCCACTAGGTTCGCCAGAAGAAGAAGACAAGCAAATAAGCATGAGTCAGGATAAGTATAAAAATATTAATTTTACTCTAAAAATTTCATTTTTGTAAAGACGGTGAAGTACAATAATACATGGGTAGAATACTGCTTCTAGGGTCTGAATAAAATGGACATTGCAACAAGAAGTGGTATTCACATTCTTGAACAATTACAATGCAAAAAGGACAAAATCTTTCTTCTGGTGGAATATTACATCTTCTACCAACCTCAATCATTAAGTTATGATTTGAGCAGCGGAATTTACAGAGCTCTATACGATAAACATGAATTGGTACAAGTAGTTTTCATACATACGATTCACTTTAATTTGTCTATAACTTAGAGTAGTGAACTATGTTATCGAACCATGGTTGCTTGTCAATATCCACACATCTTTGCTTGAACATACTTAGAAAATGATTAACATTTGAAACACCCTGTTCTATCCAAGAAAAAACAAGTCCTAAACTGAATAGTAATCCTTTTACCTTGAGAGCCCAACAATTAATTCAATTTCTGGCAGCTTATATTGGTAATAATAGATATGTTTTAAAATAGCATTATCCTGTTGGTATACTAATATAAGCCAGTAACTGATTATCTTGCTTATTGTATTGAGATGTGTATATCATTGTATTGAGATATGTATATCATTGTATTGAGATATGTATATCATTGTATTGAGATTATGCAACAGTAACAATTTAGAAGTCACAGGAAACAGCATTTTAAGCAGAAAATTGTTTTAGAAGTTACACTGGTTCTCATTGGTGTAAAATATATTGAATACCCAAATTAAACCATACCCAAAGTGATTGAAAACTTCTGAGTACATACTCAGTAGCTGATGACATCTGCATCCTTATATTAATTGTTAACATCATCATCACTGGCCACACCAATGTTTAGATCTGTCACATTCCTTATTTGTCTTTATGGTATTCATTACAAGGCTTAAAGCCTATTTTCGGAAATTGAAATACATGTATGAGGAAGAAGCAAAGGCATGACCTCTGTATGGATGGATGGTCCTGCAGATTGAATGAAATGTAATTGGAAATGTAGAGAACATTTGTTATAATTTAGCAATAGTTTTAGGTTCTAACTTTCCTATGATACATGTACTTTATTTACAGGCCCTGCTGTGGATTGTGCACGGTTGCTATGGGAATATGGCAGCAGAAATCAAGTCAAAATTTTGAAAGGTGAGAAATAACCTCACATTGGTCAAATACATAGAATTTGATTGTCAATGATTATTCATTTCTTGGAATAGTTTAGTGAGTGAAGTATTTTTAAGCATGGCTGAAGACTGAGCCTTGAATGGGGTTAGGTTGAGATGGACACACTAACAATATAATTGAATGATGGTTTGGTTTGTTTGTTCCGTCTGTTGTTTAAGGCCATATAGTAATATTCCAGCTACATGGCAGCAGTATGTAAATAATCGATAATTTGTCTTCGCTTTATGTTTAGAATTTGACAAACTGACAAACAGTGACTGTGAACATAGCAGCAAACACATTTTCTGAACCTGTATGTAGATTTTGTAAAATATTTTCTAATTGGACTATAAATATTTATGATAGCCCTTTCATATAAAGCCACAGAAAGTTAGGCTTGAATCGGCTTAAGGGTGGAACTTAGGTTTTGGTTTCGGTTAGTGGACACTTTACTGTGTTGACTGAAAACTTTAAAGTATTAACCAGAAACATGTTTATTTCCAGGTGGTTATGAGGAATTTTCTGCATTGTATCCATTTCTCAGGACTCAGAAGATACTGTTTATGCCAAGGGTGAGTTTGGGAGAATAAGGGGACACAACTCATGACTATATTTTTCTCTTCTTTTTCTCGTTCACCGATGTTTGTTCTGTGCTTGTCTGTTTGTTATTTGACACCACGGCTCACCGATATTCCCGCTAGATGGTGGTGCTCTGTCAATAATTGAGTCTGGACCAGACCATCAAGTGATTGCTATAAAGAGCATGAATGTACACATTTGGGATGTGATCACATGAATAAAGTAAGTCAGTGATCCTCACCATCCAGTATCCTTGTGTCTCCCCTAAAGACAAGCATGGTTTTCTGATGACCAGTTTTAACCTGACTCTTCACAAGGTTGATGTTAGTTTAACATTAGATGCAGGTTTTACTTATAACTCTGAAGTATATTATATTACATTGTAAAGCATTATTGTTCTTATTTCCAAAAACGTACTGACTACCTAATACAATTACGAATATCTTCTGACCCGTGAAGGTCCGGGTTAGAATGAATCTTCAGTAATCCATGCTTGTCATAAGAGGCGACTAATGGGATCGGGTTGTCAGGCTCGATGGCTTGGTTGACACGTCATTGGTTCCCAATTGCGCAGATCGATGCTAATGCTGTTGATCACTGGATTGTCTGGTCCAGACTCGATTATTTACAGACCGACGCCATATAGCTGGAATATTGCTGAGTGTGGCATAAAACTAAACTCACTCACTAATATCTTCTCAAACGTGTGTAGCAACATGTGACAATACACTTGTGTGTGGTATGATTCATTGTTATTCTTGGTTCCAAACATAGGTTTTCGGCTTATGGGTCACTCTTGGTTTATGAAATGAACCATGTAATGTGTATCAAGAATAAAAGTACTGTTTGATTGGTGACATCCCCCTTCATACAGTGTATTTGATCAGCATTCTGTCATGATGAATACCTTTGATCCATTTGCTAATATATCAGTATAGAACTTCAGTGCATATTTTGCTGGTGGTTCCAGTCATGGAAGAAAAGTAATCTGTAGCCTAGCATTTTCAGCTAAGACTTTATTCATGACGGTTTCCTGATTTATTATAAGGGACCGTTCATAATTTGTGGCTAGGGATGACGATGATTTTTATGGAGAAGCATTTACAATGTGAATGACCCCACCCCCAAAAAATATATGTACAAAGTAAGTGACCCCCCTGCATGTCATGTAGGATGCACTTTGAGCATGCACCTTGTGGATGGATACAGCTTTGAGCATGCACACTCATTATTATTATGTACAAATCAATTACCACCACCTCCCATAATTTTTGAGCATACTTTTAAAATATTTTTATGCATAAAATTGCTGACTCCCCTACCGCCCCAGAACAAAATGGGGACACGCACGCACGCACGCATGCATGAAATCATCATGACCCCCCCTATTCATAAATTATGAACGGTCCCTTAACATGAAATAAACCTAGGGCTCCATTGTACAAAGAGTTGTTGTAATGTAGATACATTTCAAACTCATGAACAAGAGAAATTCTTTACAGGGTTAAATAAAGATAGAGATGGTGATATTACATTCAAAACAAAGCTACAGTAGCGAATGATGAACAATGATGGTATATTCAAATCTGAACGTTTTTGTAGTTTGTATGTTCTGCCTTAATTTATATTTCAATTTTAAAAAATGACCACAAATCAACCATGACACTATTTTTTATGTACTCGGACTCATATATCTGGCATATTAATCAAGTAATTTGAAAAACAAGAAATAGGTTTAAAATACCAAAATGAACATATTGCACTTCAGGTATGAATAGTTTTCAGATTAAATATATAAATAAGGACATCTATTTCAAGTATTTGCAGCCTCAAAAGTCTCAGCCTTTATAGTAAAGGGGAAATGTGGGGCCAATTGTGGGATTCTGATATTGCTAAACATTTCCTGTTAATTTCAATGTACATTTCTCTGTGACAGGAGATGGACGAGCTGAAGCCTTACCCCACAGAGATCATCCAGGGCGTCCTGTACCTGGGTAACTGGAGGCAGGGCAACGCAGCATACATACAGAAGGATCTCAAAATCAAGGGACACATCAACTGCTGTGTTGAGTCCGAGACTTTGTAAGGATGGATGGATGGATGGATGGATGGATGGATGGATGGGTGGGGTGGAGGGATGGATGGGTCGGTGGATGGATGGGTGGGTGGGTGCATGGATGGATGGGTGTGTGGATAGGTGGATGGATGGACAGATGGATGAATGGATGGATGGACGGATTGTTAGGGGAAAATATATAATTTTGTTCCAATTGGATTTGGAATTTACTTAAGAAATCATGATTGCATGGTTTTACCTTTGACAAAATAAATCATCCCATATGCACATACAAATTGAAATTGGATGCAAAACTTTACAATGCATGTCTATATTTAGTTGCATGTGCCATAATTAGTTCTAAGTGCATTTGTAAGTGCAGATGTGACATTAGACTGACAAAATAGAGTTGTCTTATTTGAAAACATATCCATCTAATTATACATCTATATATAAAAATGAATATAAAACAAAATACACTTCTTAATTTCAGTAGAACTGAGACAATCTAGACTTGCCCAATCATTCTTGAATCCTTTTCAACTTATTCTCTATTGTCAGGGAGACAGACTATTGTGACATGTATTTACTCTATGTTCAGTTTCCCCGACCCTGGCCCCAACTTGCTGCACATACAGACGGAGGACAGGAATGATGCTGATCTCTACAGTCAGTTTGCAACAGCCTGTGCCTTCATTGGTAAGATCAGAACAGACAGTATTGGCAATCAGTTGGGAGTTTAGGAATGGTTATCATGGTCATCTGTTTTCTGATTAGCACCCATTCTGGGTAAGAATACAGGTATCAGGAAACCTATCCGTCAGTATGACTAGTGGTATGTTTTGTAGTCTCTCATGGTGTTGCTTGGCAACATCCTCCATCTTGTAGTCACCAATCGCTGAAGTAAAACCATCTTTTCTCCGAACATCATGTTGGTGTGTGTTTCTGAATGGTTGCGGCTATACTTGTGGTCCAGGGCCTAGATTTTCAAAGCTCTCTTAACGCTAAGATAGTCGTAAGTTAATGTTAATGTATGGCACTTACGATTATCTTAGAGCTAAGAGAGCTTCGAAAATCTAGGCCCTGGTCATAAGAGGCACCTACATGGACAGGATGGTCAGGCTGGGTCAATCACTGAATTTCAGGACCAGGTTGCTGTCATTTCTAAGAAGCCTAGCGGTTAGAACAATCGAAAAAAAAATACATGATCAGACTATAAAGGTATAGTTTTTTGATGAAGGAACAATTGAATGACGTTATCCCGGTACTGCGCCATTCTAGTGTGCCCACTCGTAATCAAACCATTTTACATTACGTCACAATGTAAGTGACGTCACGATGCATGTCAGTTGTCATCGCCTCCTACCGCCTCCTACAGTAAACTACTCCATTGCATCCCGTTTCTTGGTTTGCAGTTGCTTCACGCAGCTAACATCACTGGTGGAAACATTATGTTTATGTTTTACGACGGTTAAAATGTGTCAATTCGACTCACAATTTTTCAGAGATACGGTAAAGTTCGCAATGTTTACATTCCGACAATGCAATCGTGGAATGCCGCTTGACTACTCAGCTTCATCTGGATGTACTGATCTAAACTTACGTTGGTAGTAGAAATGCGACGTTTATATTGCCCCATATGGTTTACGTTAATGACAGATGTAATTAAAATAATTCAGAGAAGATATTTAATCCGAACGTAAACCGTCATCAAACTGTTATCATTTGTTTTTTCTGGTAATGTTCGTCTTAACGTAAGGGGGCAGACACATCAATAGAACAGCGCGCCAGTTAGCCCTGTGCGAGGATTCTTAATCTAGGTCACTGACACCATTGTTTGTTTTCTGCCTTAAATTAATCGTAATTATCCTTAGAAAGTATTAAATTTGGCATCTTAGAAAAGAAATACAGTTCGCTCTACCACCATGTATAGTGTAATAAAGCACACTTTCGCCATGAACTATTATAACATTAAAGCACTTGGACGCAAGCGTCCTCGTACTTTAACTATAATGGTTCAGAGAAAAAGTGTGCTTTATTACACTATACATGGTGGTAGAGCGAACTGTATTTCTTAAATAGCTGGAATATTTCTGATTGTGGCATCAAACAACGAACACACACATATGTAATTGATTGCAGCTACCCATTAAGGGTAATTTTTATATCTTTGGAAATATCCCCCTTTCCACTTAAATCAACATCTGTAAAACTCAACGGAAGGTAAAGATACCAGATTTGAAGTGCAAGATGATAGATTCTGATATCTGAAACTTTGTGGAAATACCAGAGAAGGTATTTACAAATACTTGTTTCGTTGGTTCTAGAAATGTGTTTCAAAGAACCTTTTCACCATGATTAGAATATTTTTTACCTAACTGTATATACTCAAGTGATAAAAAGAAGTAATGAATGTATGTGTAATTATTTGTGGATCAAAGGACTGGTTTAAATGTTTTGCTTTTTGAGTATTTACCTCAAATCATCAACACCAGAATAAAGATAAACTGGTTTAATCCATTATCAGAACATCTTCAAAAGTAACTGCAGTCAATTGTCATACATTTCACTCAGAAAATGGATAGCCAGATGTGGTCAAGTTTGAACCTATTATATAATTTAGCATAGTTGACATTGTTGTATAAACAATATGGTGACAGATGGATAACTGGCTGATCAGTCAATGTAGTAGTACGTTACACTTCTGTTTGTATTTCATGTACACACTGTCCATCAGTGGATAATGTTTCTCTTGTTTAATTAACTAGCCAACTACAGTATTGATTCCTTTTTGTTATTGTTGAGTCAGGTTCCTTTTATTCTTTTGGCTGTGCACCAGTATGATCGAATGACACAAATTGCCATTCACAAACTGACTGTAGATAACCCATGGCTTGTACACTGGAATTGCCACCTGACAAGTTGACTGTAGATACTTTTGGCTTGTTTTCTTGAACTGCCACTTAACAAGCGGTCTGCAGATACTTTGGACTTTATTCCCCTTAATTGCCTCTTCTTGTACTTTTGGCTTGATTCCTTGAGTTGACAATAAAGGAACCCGTGAAGATCTGGGTTAGAATTGGTCTTCAGCAACCCATGCTTGATGCAAGAGGCGACTAACAGGATAGAGTGGCCAGATTTGCTAACTTGGTTGATACTGTTATCGCATCCCATCATAGAATGATGCTCATGCTGTTGATCACTGGATTATCTGGTCAGATTTGCTAGAATATTGCTGAGTACTGGGTTAAACAACGAACAAAGAAAAAAAGAGACAATTAATGAGAACTGATTGTGTTTAAACTGATTGAGTTGGTATATTTAAGAGTGGTGCAATCACAAGTGATAATGCCTACAAGTTATGATAAACGCCTTACTGTACTGAAATGGCAAATATACTATATTTAATATTTTCATACTGAATATCTGAAAACCATAGTCACTGAGGTAGACTGAAAGTAGTGCTGGTATCAATGTTATTTCAGTCATGTGAGATATCAGATCAAATCCTTTCTAATAAATACAATACTTCATAATTTGATATCCAATAAAAGTCGTTTGTTTCATATCCTCAGATACCCAGAGACAGGATCAAAAAGCAATACTGGTATTTTCTCTGCTTGGTATCAGTAGAAGTGCCACCATCATCATTGCCTATCTTATGCATCACTTCAAGTGGACACTAGAGGTTGGTTAATTTGTATTTAATTTGATTTATGTATGATGACTTCGGTTCATCCTCCGTACCTTGATAACAATTGAATGGCCTTGTCATCTAAGCTTTGAACTTTTTGAGAAGCATTCTAGAAGTTGTAAGCAATAGGAATGACAAGTCTTTATAGAGGATCAACAATGGATTATCTTGCCTCAGCTTATCTCATGTATATTTATGTGCTTGCCACAAAAGGCGACTATGCTTGTTGTAAGAGGCGACTTACGGGATCAGGTGGTCAGGCTCGCTGGCTTGGTTGACACGTCATCGGTTCCCAATTGCGCAGATCGGTGCTCATGCTGTTGATCACTGGATTGTCTGGTCCAGACTCTATTATTTACAGACTGCCGCCATATAGCTGGAATATTGCTGAGTGCGGCGTAAAACTAAACTCACTCACTCATGTATATTTATGCTTGTTTTCATTTTTAATCATTTTGTTTTATCATCCATTGTCATGTCCCCCATATACATCCTGCTGTACTCATTCACCACCTCGGTATAAGCCGAAATGTTGCTATAGTACAATAAAGAAGTTGATAATCCATATAGACTATCATTCCTATCTAAGCTTTGGTTTGTTATGCTGAAGAGACTGGGTTTGATTGCCCACATGGGCAGTTCATTTGTGATGTTCCCTACTAAGATTTGGTGTTATCAGCAATGTTATTAATTACTCTCTCTCTCCCTCCCTGAGAAGCAAAACTCTGGTGTTAAGGTTCTTATACAGTCTGTAAAAAAGCAGATCATTCTTAATAAGTTGCATAAGCTGAGTAAGTGTACTTCTGTTTTCAAGTTTAGCTTAAAATGGAGAGCTGAAATATGGTCCTAGTGTATATATCATATTACAATGTTTAAGACCTGTGAAGATCCAGGTTAGAATTGGTCTTCAGTAACCCATGCTTGTGGTAAGAGGAGACTAATGGGATCGGGTGGTCAGGCTCGCTGGTTTCGTTGACACATGTCATCATAACCCAGTTGCGTAGAATGATGCGCATGTTGTTGATCACTGGATTGTCTGGTCCAGACTCGATTATTTACAGACTGACTCCATACAGCTGGAATATTGCTGAGTGCAGTGTTAAACAACAAACCAACCAACCCAAAACAATGTATAATTAAAGATGTGTGTATACATATGGGTTTTGATTTTGCAACACAGCTGTAAAGTATGACAGTTTTGATCAATATTCAAACTCCCTCCTATCACAGGAAGCCTACTGCCACATAAAGAAGTGCTGTTCCACAATCCGACCGAATCGGGGATTTATAGAGCAGCTGTCCAGATGGGAAGAAGATATCCTTGGAGAGAAGAAAACAGATATCAGTGATCCCAGTTACTGAATACACAATATAGATTTCATCATGTACATTTCATATCGATTTCAAATATCTGTGATAGATACTGTCAATTTCACCATGAAAAGTCATCACCTGCTGTTGTTAATGTGAATCATGGTATGTGATTAAACATTTAAGTCTTCATAACACAGTATGAAATAAGGCTATTCATTTTCATATGTGAATTATAATCGTTTCTAAATGTACAATTTAGTTTAATGAATACAATTTGGCTATCAATACAATTACATCAGATGTTTGTTGTTTTCAGATTATGATGAAAATTATATATTTTTAGAGAACTTATGTTTCTTGCTAAATGATCAAGACTACTGGTACTGCTGAATTGTTTTGTAAAGAAGATATGTTATTTCCTGTTACTATTATATTTTAGCTGTTTGGGATGTGTCATTTTATGTTGTTTTAGCAAAGAAAATCTCAATCATCTTTCACATAACAAATACGTCTTAAGTTTGGGATCTTCTTTCTCAAATTTATGGTTCAAATTATATATTATTCAAATTACATGTATTTATTATTAAAACCTCTTATGGAGGGGGAAATTGAACTCTTAAGTAAACTCAAAATGACTGTGTGACATATTTTTAATGATATTATATTTTGTAATTTGTACACGTGTGAATATTGTAAATATTCAATTTAGTAAATAGTGGATTGTTGTGTAAATATGTCCATATATTATGCATAATAAATCTGTACTATTATGAACCTCATGTGAGTTTGTGTCATTAGTATAAGTGTCAAGATCTGAAGAGCATAGCATGCAAATGACTGTGTTCAAATATAAGACTGTTCTGTGGATAAAGCGTCTGCCTTCAGAGTGAGTGAGTTCAGTTTTATGCCACTTTTAGCAATATTCCAGCAATATCACGGCGGGGGACACCAGAATGGGCTTCACACATTGTACCTATTTGGGGAATCGAATCAAATTATACACGTTTCTTTTATGTAATGTTAGAAACTTCTAAGTTATTTCTAAACAAAAACCTTCCTGCAAATTACCAGGGATGGCAATTTTCCGCTGATCTGCCTATTTTATTTCAAATTGATCAATTCAAACCCACCATTCGGTGACACAATATTAGGTTTTCAGCTGAAAATAGATTTTCCTGTTGCCATCCCCGAAATACACACTTTACCATTTACTATTCAGTTATGATCACAAATATTGTGTGATCAATCATATCCTAGCACTACTGATTATCTCAATTATTAAGAAAAAGTATTTCTTTAGAATGATTTTAAGGGACATAATTGATGTCTAAGAGCATATTGCTGAAAAGAACAATGACACTACAAAGTATATTCTCTTTGAAAATTTGTAAAAGCAAAATGCTGCTGTCAAGCTCATTAAACTGAATTCACAATATTTTTATGAAACAGAGCAACAAACTATAAAATACTGGGATATGAAGAAATAATGGTTACTATTTTTAAAGTAAGATTATGAATCAATGAGCATTTTAACTGGGAATATTCATCCCAACTGTCACCTCCTTAGGACTTGTACTTTCAGAACAAATGTGAAAAATGTAACAACATATAGATTATTGGATGTCAGACAATCCACCTAAACTCACTCGAACTTTAAGATGATCTAAATGAAAATGGTTAATCCTGTAGGTTGAGATTGAAACGGACATGACTTATCCCGGTAACATATGTTCACAAACTACACCAAATAATTCCTCATATTCTTCACGTGATGTCTGATGACCTGATGATGGCATGATTTAGTTATGGGTTCTTTAAACAGACTGATAACTTTCTACAGCAAAGTCACATGATATTATATTTCGATTTTCTGTTCCATACCCTGAAAGAAAGAAATAGTTTCTGAATCAATGTGTGATACTCTGTTTGCTTGTCTGTTGAAAATGCTGTACTTACACTTTAACACTATCAGGATTCGATGTCACACAATCAAGTCATCAAGATACATCTAGTTAACTCTGAAAACAGTGACTGAGTGAGTTTAGTTTTACGCCACACTCAGCAATATTCCAGCTATATGTCAGCGGTTTGTAAATAATCGAGACAATCCAGTGATCAAAAGCACGAGCATTGATCTACGCCATTGGGATACGATGACATATGTCAACCAAGTCAGTGAGCTTACACTGCACTTACACTTAAACACTGTCAGGGTACAATGTCACACAATCAAGTCATCAAGGTACAACTAGTTAGTCTGAAATGTCTGAAACAGAATCAAGCATAGGTTGATGGGCCATAGTGTCGTAAAGTGTATGATATCTCGTACCTAACACTGCTTTGTAGATCGATGCTCATGTTGTTGATCACTGGATTGTCTGGTCCAGACTTGACAACCTTCCGTGTAATACCATTTTTATTAACAATTGAGTCTGGACCAGACAATCCAGTGATCAACAGTATAAAGCATTACATGCCATTAAATACATAAATGGCATAAATAGAGGATACTAAACAACCTTCCGTGTAATACCATTTTTTATTTAGCGATTTGGTAAAGCGAGTTTGATACTAAATCTTTCACAAGTTTAATAAAAATGGTATTTCACAGAAGCGAGTTTAGTATTCTGTTTATTACTCTCCAACATAAACTTCTAGAAACTGCCTACGTAGTGTGATGACTCTCAGCTTTCCACAAGTCAAGCAAGGTCTAATACCATTGTGACAGAGGTATTAGCATTGTGACATCATAACTGAATAAACCATTATGGCGTCATTACACGTCTAGCGGTATTACACTAGTGTAATATTGCTGTAAAAATATTACACTGCAGTATCTTCCACGTAGGCGAGTAATAATGTCATATATCAACTGAAAACAACAATAAACATCACATATTCAAGTTTATTGCTCCATCTTTTCTATGATATAGAAAATCGAGATATGATATACAGGTACCGGCATATCATGCTGACACACAAAGGTATACAACAATCTTTCAACAGAAAACAGCAAGACACTTTCTACATTGTATATCTCAATATCTATGCATACACCTGTACTGAAACACTATTAATTTCTATAACACTAACATAACAAAATGGCACAAAACTTAAGAAATATCACAATTTCAAATAAAACAATAAACTAAAACTCAGAAGTACAAAACAAATAATTCCTTTTCATAAAACAAATTAATAACAGAATAGCTAACCATCTGACAAATAATGTGACCATCAATTATACCCACAGCTTCAGTCCCTGGACAGTTTTAAATATATTCTCGTCAAAATTCTATTTCTTTGTTGATATATGTAAATCAGCTTTCTCACTGGCATACACAAAGAAATCCAATCTGTGATCACATGGCACAACTAAAACGAACTCAAAAAAGGGTTGGGGCCAGGGGCTCCATATTAAGGCTGACTGGGAAGCAGAAGTTTGCCTTAAGATGTACATGGAAACCTAGTCCCTGGAGAACACATATTGCTGAGTGTAGAAAAAATCCTATGTCCTCTCACCGACAAACTTGATCACATGTCATAAATCAGTGAGTGAGTATGGTTTTACGCCGCTTTTAGCAATATTCCAGCAATATCACGGCAAGGGACATCAGAAATATGCTTAACACCTTGTGCCCATGTGGGGAATCAAACCTGTGTCATCAGCATGACGAGTGAACACTTTAACCACTAGGCTACCCGACGCCTACGTCATAAATCAGATAGCATCTAATGCAGGATGGGAAAAATTCATATCTTCCATCAGTTAGGTTGAAGACTTAAAACATTGTGGAACTAATACAGAAGTCTGATTATTTTGTCACTGCACTTGCGAGACATGGGAGAGTCTCTGTGCTTTGGCATAAGACAGATATGTTCAGATGCAGTCCATCTAAATGGCTACATCTACATTTCATCCTGAACAGGACCAATTGTTATGAAAAAAACACAATAGCCTGGATATTCTCTTGGTGCTTGTGGACATGTTTACAGTTAAGAAAACATCCATGTTGAGTGCTTGTTTGTTGTTCATCGTTACCCTCAGCAATATTCCAGCTATATGGTGAGTGAGTGAGTGAGTGAAGTTCGTTTTACGCCGCTTTTAGCAATATTCCAGCAATATCATGGTAGGGGAAACCAGAAATAGGCTTCACACACTTTATGAAATTATCCTAACTGTTTCTGATACCATAACGACAATCAGGACAATAAATGCATAATATGATTTAAAAAAAAATCATGCACTCATTCTTTCTGACATGTCAGCTGAGACAAACATGCATGCTTTCATAAAGCTTTGACTATGACAACAATAGAACATACTGAAATGACGGAATATTGTGACAAAATCTTCCTACTTGAATACATAGACATGTAAGTTAGCTGTTACTGCAACGGTGGCACGAAAATGGATGATAAAACATGAAAAAAAACCAACAATATATTTCATGATAAAACATGCTACCATTTGAACAAAATAGCTGATGACATTATGTTTGAAGACATATCTTGTACCCAGTGAACAATATGGTCGATGTCAAAATGCTGTCATCATGATTTAACTGTTTCATAGGAAGGGTCTGGCTCAGATGCTGTAATCTTTCCACAAACTGAAACACAAAAGGTTCATATTTTAGCTCAGGATCTTGTTGCACCAGAAATGATATTTGCAATCACTGGACACAAATCTGTTCAGCAAATTGAATCTCTGCAGCAGATCAACAATTTGAAACAAATTAAGTGTTTTTACTTAGTTTGCATTCAAAAACACTCAGTTTGGAATAATAAATTCCTTGTTAAAAATAAACCAGTGAAATACATATTTATAATAATAATAATAAATGCATATTTATAATGCGCCCCTTCCACACCCTAAGGCATGCTCAAAGCGCTACAGAATATTTACACTGGAGTATTTACAGTTGAAATTATAAGTAATATGCTGAGAAAAGGTGGGTTTTAAGTCTGGACTTAAAAATGTCAATTGTGCCAGAGCTTTTAATGACACAAGGGAGAGAGGTCCAAAGCACAGGTGCAGAGTAAGAAAACAATCGGTATCCAAAGGATTTCAGTTTGTAGGATGGGATAACCAGTAGATTTTGTGTGTTTGAATGAAAGTTGCATGCGGGGAGATAGGAATGTAGTAGCTCAGACAAGTAGGAGGGCATCAAACCATGGAGATACTTACCGTATATTACCGTCTATAAGCCGACCTCATAGATAAGCCGACCCACAAACTTGACCCTTAAAATCACTGTCAAAATGGTATGTTTCGTACATAAGCCGATCCCCCGCGATGGGGTCCTAATCGCGGCAAACACAGACCACAGACAACTGGCAGTTGCTAATAATTATAACTTAGGTCCACATTATTCAAAGAATTCACAATCATATTCCATCTACTCACGCATCGAAATGAAGTGTAGTTGACAGAAAATGGATAATATATTTGGCTTTGCTAAATATCATACTTATTGTAGCTGGACAATCACATGTCAACAAACTGGCATGCTTATTTTACCCCATTCAACAATCACGAACTGATTACCGCCTCGTTTTCCATGGACTGCTAGTTTACAGTAACATCGGTAAAAGTGTGTGAGTTTAAATGGCTTTCTTATATTACCCCATTCCATGTGCATACAACTTCCACTTACCACGTTCATGAGGGTTCATATAACCTTAGTGTTGATTGTATATATTTTACATTTATAGAGCAAAAACTGTAATTAAAATAACACAATGCTAGGATATATTTCTTTGGGTTAAATAATAGTATTCTGTATTATATTTTACTGATGACTGCGTCAGAATTCATCCCATTATATTATTGTGCATATTTGAACTTGATCGCCGGGAAACGTGTGCACAGCTGATTGCTATTTCCGGCTCAAATACACATGGTAATCTTAATCCCTGCAAATAATACAATGCCCAGCAAAAACAACTTAGAACTTAAAAGGTAAATAATCTTGTCTAGTGATGTTTAATTGCAAATTTGACGTCTTTACTGACAAAGTTGTCTTCTGTTGTTTGTTCACGCAAAGTGATACGATGTTGTTTTCTTACCCCTGGAAAAAAGTTTCACAAAAGCATAACCCATAGATAAGACGACCCCCTTCTACAGACTGCTTTTTTGGGTCCTCAAAATTTGGTTTATAGACGGTAATATACGGGATATTAATCAGATTCTGTATATTAATCACATTCTGGAACATATGCCCCATGGCACATAAGGGAGACAACTCATCTCACCACTGTGTGTATTCTTCATCATGCGAGTTTTGTTCCAACAAATCTTTTACTCCTTGTGGAGGATTCAGTCCATGTTTCTCAGCTCGGGCCCACCTCTCCATCCTTGTTATTCCTGTCAGACAACAGAAAGAGTTGACCTATCGTGTTGAGGAAGACATACAAGTAACAACACTGTTACATAGCCGACAGTTATTAATATGTTCTCTGTTGTTCTTCTGTTACTTCGTTACTTTTAGACGCTGACAATACATTCACTCCATATATAATTATACAAAAATAAACCTTAACTCTTTGTTGTTTTTATTTCTCGGTACATTCAGCAAGGGCTGATCCATTGGTTGATCTTTATTATGCATAATGCGAGGAGGTTCTTTACAATTTGTAGGAGCATTAAACAGGTGTTTTATGATCTGCGTGTTTTGAGAACATGCTGAAGGTTATTATAAGAAGGATCATTATGTCTCTACTATCTTTTAGCATTTACAAATTAAGGTTTATCTAATTACTATAACCTGACATCAAGATGATTTGGTTTTAACACACTTTAATACAAATTCAGCAATATGTGACTGATACACCAGAAAATGACTTGACTGATTGACTGATGTTTGGATTCGAACCGCGGTCTTAGTAATATTCCAGCCAACGCTTTAACCATTAGAATGGGCTTCACACATTATGCCCTGTGGCGATTCAAACCGGACATAGTGTGACACACTATAATACAAACCATTTACATGTGACTGATACTGAGACCCATGAATATTCGGGTTAGAATTGGTCTTCAAGAACTCATACTCGTTGTAAGAGACAACTAATTGGTTCGGATGTTCAGGCTCGCTGACTTGTTTTGACACATGTCATTGATTCCCAATTGCGTAGAATTATGCTCATGATGTTGATCACTGGTTTGTCTGGTCCAAACTCGATTATTTACAGACCGCCATCATATAGCGGGAATATTGCTGAGTGTGGCTTTAAACTACAAGCAGCGCTGGGGTAGCCTTGTGGTTAAGGCATTTGCCTTAACGCTCGTCACGCTGAAGACCTGGTTTGATTTCCCACATGGGTACAATGTGTGAAGCACATTTCTGGTGTCCCTCGACATGATATTGCTGGAATATTGCAAAAAGCGGCATAAAGTTAAACTCATTCACTATAAACAACAAACCAACAACAACAACAACAACAACAACAACAACAACAACAATAAACTAACAACAACATGTTGGAATTGATCATATTGTGTTTACATTTTGGAAGTGATTATGGTTGTTTGAATGCTGCTAAATGAAATATTTATCACTTCCAAAATGTAAACACAATAGGATTATCTCCATTCTACCATGACATATGCACCATGAATAAAACGCGTTTTAAATATGCACTCATTACCCCTTTGCGTAGGCCTAGACTACCACGCTTAGAAACTGGACATTATGACGTTTACATACTCATACCATCGGTACTTAGAGTTACTTTGGGTGATTGTTCAGTCATTTCATGTTGGAACCAGGCTGGGTCAATATTTTCCTCCATATCCGATCCAAACACATCAAAGAAATCGCTGAGGTCAAACGTAACAGTTTCAGACGACATGTTTGTTTACCTTTGTAAGGGTTAATGAGTGCAAAATATTCCTACGCGCAGTGAACCGGCTCTCAGAAGTGGTTATTGAAATTTTTTCACTTCTAATTTTTTAGTAACAGCCAATCAAAAACGACCATACTTAAATGTCATGGTAGAATGAAATCATATTCACTTAAATATACATTGAAAAAGATTAATCAAACGTATTCAAGTTTTACTGCACATATCAATAACAATATTTGTATGATTGTTATGCAGTGCCCCCTATCACACCTAAGAATCTTCATAATGAAATCCCTGGATGTACTGAAAAAATGCAATATGATTACCACTGCAAGGTCCAAACTCCAATGTAAGGTCAAATTGTCGAAGGAGTTCAAGGTCTATCGCTTGCTGTGTCTTGTTACCTCTGCTTGACCCAACTGAAACAAACATTAAAGATCGTCATAGTTACATCATCTTGATCAGGCTCTCATGAAAACAGAGTAGTCTGTCTGGTTATGACTATACCCAAAATCTCAATTTCAGGTGTACATAATATTTTCATAAACTATCAATTTGATAGTGAAGATTTCATTCATATCTTAGTGTTAAAACACCGACCAAATCTTGGATATCAGTGATTATATCTCCAAGAACAAAGAACAGTGTTTGTATTACCTGTGGAAGAAAATTTGTAGGGAAAAGATGGAGATTTGTTTTCTTTCAGAAACACCCATACGTATATTCGTTTCTGTCCAGAACTGAGCACCCACATAGTGTGTAGAAAGTGTCACAAAGAAAAATTCTTGCAATTAAAACTAAATTAGAAAGCCTTTAAAGCAAATGTGAGGAAACACTGAAGGTGATTTCAGAAAAATATTTCAAAGTAAAAGAGAAGCATATGAGGAAAGACCACCACGAGGAAGCAGAAGCTACAAAAAAGCTAAGTAGAAAATCTGTATTTGCCATGTTGAACTTGGGAACTAACATTCCCAGCTCTTTCTGATCATTAATAATCAGAAAGGGAAAGAACGATGGTGACAGCACCCAGGGAGTGTGTATGAGGGACACAGACATTCCATTATCAGGTTCCGACCATGGAGATGGTTGGTAAAATTCTGTATTTCACAAGGCTGTACTGTCCGCTTGTCTAGACTTGACTCTTCGAAGGATAGAATTACTATACATCCATGGGCTCAGCCATTCTCTTCCCACAGAGTTTACTTGTCATATCTTCCTATGATCCTCTGTTCTAATACGGCCCTTTCATGGTGCAAGTGTTCAGGAATCGTGATTGGTTGCAATCAGATTTAGTTGTGCAATCAGCGACGTTGTTTCAAAACTGATCATTCGCAAGGCCTCGGTAATTTCCGTATGCTTTTGGAAAAGTAGAACCTCTTCCCCAGCGCAATGCGCAAACCTTTCTTCTACACAGAACACAGTCATGTTATGGCGGATCAATGGCATATCCATTGCTAGCCAAGCTAGCCATAAAATGTCTTGTGTGTCACATCAACAACACAAGACCCCGGCAGAGGAGGGATATTTGTGCCCCCTCATTTGCTTGTGTTCGTCAAGTTGGATCTAAGTCGATGTAACATGTGTTCTGATTGGATAAAAAGAAGGGAGATAATTTGTGTAGCGATTGTTTGCCGCTAGGGGATTTTACGAGAACCGGGAAATATGACCATATTAGAACAGAGGTTCGTAGGAAGATATGACAAGTAACCTCTGTGGGAAGAGAATGGGGCTCAGCATACAGTACAGCCTTGGAGCAAGGCTACCATAACACATGAACATATTAAAGGTCACATGCAATGTAAAACACAACTTTGCAGATTCTGATACCTTTCGGTATGGACGTACTGAAACAAATCATCAAAAATGCAAATTCAAGTTATAAAGTTGAAAAATAACGCGATAAAAAAACCCGCGCGAAATCGGAGTTCAAACGATTCACTAATTTTCCCTGAAAATTTCGGGAAAACAGGTTTCAACAGCTGGGCTGCACTCATAGCATGTAATAGCGAGTGAAATAGGTTCGCGAACTTGGAAGCGGGCTGTCTGGTGAATACTCGGTGAAGGCTTTGGTGTGAGCTATTTTCATAATGTTTTGACTGTAAATAACTGTTTATATAATTTCATTTGTCTATTTCACCACACGTTCTTCTTACCGAGTCACTTTCTCAGTTCGATACTTAAAAGCAATGTCATTATTTAGCGTTGACAGAATTTCTAGCTGTGATATAGATATGTCGTTGTCACAGACAAAACTCAATGTCTTGTTTTATTGACACCTGTGTGTCTGCCTGCCTGTCTGCTAATGACAATATTCAATACACAACTGCAATCACTGACCACATGCAATTTGACCTTAACACCAATCAGGCTATACACCATAAACAAAATGCATTGATTTATGGCCCGAGTTCGGTCTCTGTCACATTATGTAATTACACAGACAGGCAGGTGTGATACTTGTACACATGACATGTTATGATGTCTGTTGATTGCAAAATGTTATACACAAAAAATGAGCATGTATTTACAAAACCCAACATCTCTATATATACACACACAATAAGCCGTGAGGGCATCTGCAAATGAACCAGCCGTTACACTTGAGTGCACATCCACCCGCTCTGACTGGGTTCGGTATCCCGGCTGCTTCGTTTCTTGGCAAGTAAACCCAAGTACACAATATTGCACTTTTGATTTGCGATTGTACGCTTATAATTTTGTTTATATGTTTTTTCATAACCAGCAATGTATATTATATGTCATGAATAAGTGATAATTGTGTTTTAATTATGTTTGATTTTTTGGTTGCATGTGACCTTTAAGGTATTGTAACAGGAGGATCCTGTCCAGGTCCTCAGATCGCAGGATTCAGGGCTTTGAAGCCACAATGACAACAAAACACAAGATTTTATAAACAAACTTAATTTATTTCAAACACCACAAATAAATATCCTAGAATCAACCATAAACTAAGTTAAATAGACAACAAAAATAATAATGCTTCCAAATATCGTAAGAAAAGTGAAAACCCTATTAAAAATACCTATACTATTGCCCCTAATCTTAATCCAAACTGAATTCCCCTCAAATAGTTTTCCCTGCAAAACAAAATTTATTTAACTACCTAAAACTTATCTATAGTCTGTTTGCAGTGAAAACGTACCGATGAATTTCACTTTAAACAAGAAAGTAAATCGAATAAAGTGACATTAAGATTGAGAATCCTCATAATTTTACTTTGCCAATTGAACATTTGAATCTCAGAATTTTATTAAACTTAGGATAAAAGTTGTTTAACAAACGATCATAGTTTCAAATCGTTATTATTGGTTTGTATTACAAGGGTGTATGCACATTAAATGAAACACGAGAACAAGTAGGGTTGGTCTAAGTTAACGCTCATCATTTGTTTCAGTGATCCAACTACTGCGCTTACCCCCTTGTAATACAAACCAATAATAGCGATTTGAATCTATAATCGTTTGTTACACAACTTTTATTCTATGATGAATAAAATTCTGAGATTCAAATGTTCAATTTAATTGGCAAGGTAAAATTATGACGATTCGGAATCTTAATTTCACTTTATTTGATTTACTTTTTTGTTTAAAGTGAAATTCATCGGTACGTTTTCACTGCAAACACACTATAACTAAACTTTCTTTTTTCTTTAAACTAAAACTGAAAGAACTTAAAACTCTGTTTGCTTAGTCTACAGAAAAACAACAGTGAATTTATCACCTTTCTTGCCTTTGTAAGACCCCCGACCCCAGAGTAAAAAAATTATCTGCCCTTTTATACCCCTAACCTAAACTCTTACCCAATAAAACCCATGCTCTGAAAATTACCCAATAAATGTCTACAAAAGAAAAGTTCAGTGGACTGAACCATCTGCTCATGAGATGCTCATGCACAGGCCCATCCCATTGTATTTCAATGGGGAAGAGACCCGTGAAGATCCGGGGTAGAATAGGTCTTCAGCAACCCATGTGCTTGCCAGTAAAAGGCGACTATCTTGTCGTAAGAGGCGACTAACGGGATCGGGTGGTCAGTTTCGCTGACTTGGTTGACACATGTCATCGGTTCCCAATTGCGCAGATCGATGCTCATGCTGTTGATCACTGGATTGTCTGGTCCAGACTCGATTATTTACAGACCAGCGCCATATAGCTGGAATATTGCTGAGTGCGGCGTAAAACTAAACTCACTCACTCAATGGGGAAGAAGCATACTAGGCACATGCCTAGTGGGTCCTTACCCCTCAAGAGCTAAATGGACCTGCCCACAGAAACCTAAGCCTGGTGTATTTGTTTTTGGCCTAGCCTATGCCTAACCCTGTCCCAACCCTAAAAAAACAAGCCTTATTTCTACTAAAAAAAACAACCATTACATTTCCCCCCTTCTTAAGATCTTTGATAAGACAAAACTAACAACGGGATTGAAAATCTTTTTTTTTTTTTCTTTTTTCTTTCAAAGTCTCTTTTCATTCACCAAGCCCACTCTTCAAATTCAGGACAGACGTAGTTCTGGGCATAGGGCTGCACAAGGGGAGGCAGAGGCGGCATCCTACTCACAATGCTGATACACCTGTCAGTTCCATCATACAGAGGTCTGACCTCAGTATCCCTGGGTGTCCCTGGACCAGACATAGTCATCAAAGGCTTCTCCTGTGCCATCCTTGCAATGAATTCCCTTGATTGTTGGGCCAATTCTCTTGGTGTCAAGTGGCAGTTGATCTCCACCTCTGGCCCTTCATTTCCGTCTGCCTGGATGTTATGTTTCAACCTTAGGTGACGATGGAGGTCTGTCCTCGACCGAAATCGTCTTCCGCATGCTACACATAAGAACATTCGAACAAAGGTTGTGTGATATTTCTTCATGTGGCGCCTCCGGACCCTTGCTGATGAAAATGTTCCAGAGTTACACACTTCACATGGTCGGGAGTCATGGTCCTTTTCAAGCTCTGCTTGAGTTACACAAATATCTATGATGTCACTCATCTGTAAAGAAGGGATGAACTTAAAACAAGAAATCATGTCACAGGCATTTCTTATTCCGAACATGAAGTTCTATAACGCTATACCCCTCATGAAACCTGTTTCAGTTTCTCTACATGATTGTTTATGTTGAGTCACCTACGGAACCATGGCCATGGTTACTCTCAGTGAACTCATTCGTACAACCCTTCCTCCTCACAAGATATTGGTCTATCCAGATACCAGCACTGCCCCAAATTAGCCTGATGAAAATTTTAAGGAGAGTATCTTTGGCGTGGCCTGACAGTACGTCCACAACGTGTTCGTTTGACTTGCTCAACATCCACACCGATATCCTCAAGACCAGCTTCCAAATCGGAAACATGATGTTCATGTTGAGAGCACACACTGCTGGATTCATCAGCTGAGCTATCACCTGCAGG